GACTCATTGGTATTCGAAAACTTTTTTCGTTATTTTTTCGTTTCAGCTTTAATTTTTGTCTTTTTAAACAGTTTAAATCCCACAGTTATATTCTTAACTATTATTCTTGACAAGTAGGTATTGAAAGATTTGTAGTGCTGATGAGAATCAAGCCTTTAAATAACAAAATTAGAGGGATTTACTGGAACATATTCCTATTCGAGTTCTGCAGCTTTTCAGTTTCCTGATGTTTTCTTTAGGCCCAAAGTGCCCCTGTGAAGAGTCTCTACCTCTTATTTTAAGTAGAAAAAGAGAAAATGCCTTTTTTCTTTTTGACAGCACAAATAAACAGGGAACTGCTTGTTCTTTCATGTTTTAGCTGCACCTTTAGTGCACAATCCTATTTCCAGCACAGCCTTTGAGCATCAGATTTGAGCATCACCCCTTTCCTGTGTTTGTCTGTTTCCTGCTTCCAGGGCCTCTGTTAATTAGATAATTTTTTTACAAGAACCAAAGGTAAAGTTGTAATCTTAAAACTGCCTGTATTAGTTTTCTACAGGAAATGAAACCTTTTACATTCTGCCTGTATTAAGCACTTAAATGTACAGAAGGCACTTTTTACAGTTCTTATTTGCAGTACACAATTAGAAAAATGGAGTTGTTAACTCTAAAGGCCAAATTCTGCTCATCTCACTATATTTTCCCATGAACATCACTTCTGTAAAATGCTAATCACTTGGCCCTTATTTTTTTTCAATTCAGCACAAATGTTTATTTGCACTACAGAATTAGGGTCATTAGATGTTTCTGTCTCCTGAGCCATGAATCATGAATCCAGTACCAGAAAAAAAAGGGGAGAGGGAGAGAAATCAGGTGTAGACAAAGGTGTACGTAAAAGTTTATAATGATTTGCCAACTTAAATGGCGCTTTTTTCCTTTTCTATGGTTAAATAATTTATTTTTACTGTGAACAGTATTGAATTTTAAAATACTTTTGCCAGTGTTTGAATTAACAGAGCAAAGGTAAAGCAATGAAAGCGTAACACCAAAAGGTGAAATACCAAACACCAGAAACATAGCAGTGTACTGTGTAGGGGACACAGAGATAGATGCTAAAAAGCCTTTTGTCACCAGCTTTTAAAGCAGTGTCAACTTTGTGAATATGTTTACTCCTTCTGCCAAAGTTTCTAGGTCAAATGGACCCCGACCCTCCTCTGCAACAGATGTACAAAAGGAAGAATGAGACTTTGTAAACAAAAACAAAAAACACAAACAAAAAACTATCATGAACTAACCAGCTGTACCAAGAGGACCAAAATGCTTCAGTAATTCAATTGAAGACTTTGCTACTTTTATTTTTTTGTTCATATGTGAGTGACATAATGAAGTAGTTTTTTCTAAATGATAAAAATATAAACTTTTGAGGTCAAAGTAGTCTTGGGTGAATTTTACATTTTATGACACAGATTTCAAGTTGACATTTTTAACTGATGATGTGTTGACCACAGGTGGGTTTTTTTCCTAGACTTAAGAATATGTTCATATACTTTTAATGTAAATGTGTTTCTATTTATTTGAAGTGAAACAAATGCCCAGGAAAAAAATCACTATGGCTTGTTCTCCTAGTTAGCATTCATGCCTACTGAAATGAAATGTGAATCTGGCAAGATTGAGGGCCTGAGGAGCAAGAGGAAGGGTGGATGCACACTGGGAGAGTGCCCATCTTGTATGGAATGCAAAGGTCCACTGTCTGTGTTGGGGAAAAAGCTGAAAGAAAACACCTTCCTTTGTTTAAGAGCTTAAGAAAGGATCCAGCCCCTTGCCAGACAGGTGAGAAAACCCACACAGCTGTGGCAGAGCATGGAGTCAGGCATTCCTGTTCCTGTCATTCACACTCAGCTTGTCTCAGGCCTGTGTCTGTGCTGGGAGGGTGAGATGAGCTTCCTCGGTGCTCGCTTTTGGCAGAGTAAAGGAAAAGTAAGGATTTGAATTTTTATTGCAGTTTTTAGCCCTGTTCTGCTGGACTGTTGAAAATCTATTGGCAGATTTCAGTTCTTTAATTACTAAAAAAAAATTGGTATATTAAGTTTATTTTGCCGTACTAAAATTGAGTATTTTTTCCTTGAATGTTAGCAATCTTCCAAAGTTTACAACTAAAAAGCCCCCCCTTTCTCTCAACTCTGTAGTTCCTACAGTAGAATGACAGAGAACCTGAAACCTTGGTTTTCTCCTCAGAAATAGCACCAAATAACATTTTAATTGGTTTAAAAGCATTTTTGCTTTTAAAAGTTGCAGAATAGCAATAACCACCTTACTTAAAACACTGGAAATAAGAGGCGAGCGCAATTTTTAAAATTTTCAGTGGTGCCTGTTCCAAAATTAATAGTAATCCCAAATTTTGAGGTTTTTAATGTAGAAGGATGGCATTGAAAACAAACATATGGGAAATAGCTGCCACCTGTCTAACAGCAGAATCAGCATTTTAATCTTATTTTAAGCAGAAATGTAGGCAGGCTCCTTGGCAGGATTAGTTGTAAGTCTCACCCTGAAATACAGCAAATTATGCTATCCTACATGACAGTGCTTCATTAAGAGAAAACCAGCCCTCTTTATAAAAAGTTGTTATATTATTTGAAGCAGCAATTTAAAAAGTTTCAGTATTTTCACCTGCTGCCCATACAGTTACCAAAACTTTTTCTAATTGCGATACCTCCTAACGCTGGTAATTGTGTGGTACAACAGCTGCTGCCTCTCAGTGCATCCCAGAAGCAGAGGTGATTTATTTCTGAGTCAGGCTGGTCCTTCCAGGAGCCAAATCCAACCTTTAGCCATGAAACCCCACAATGCTGCCAGGATGCAGCATTCCAAAAAGCACAGGATCATACGCTGTGCTCACCTCCAGGGCACTGCACAGGTCGTGTTTTGAGGGCGCTGGGATTAGGAGGAAAACTGCCACGAGCGAGACACTCGGAAGTGCTCGGTGTTGGCCTCTCCCACATCTCTTGTGAGTTACCAGAATCCCTTTTTTTTTGTATGCTAGCACATTAATCTGTAATTTATCACATGCAGAAAGCAGTGTGTAGTGTAGGGCAGGTGTATAAGCATGCGAGTAATGTTACTCTTGTGAATAATCTCCTTGCCTTTCTATGGACTCCTTACAAGAGTAATCGTACAGAATCGTTGCACTTAACCCTGGATCCTGCAACTTACAGCAGGTGGACAGCTTCTGTGTCTGCACCCAGCAGAGGGCACTTGGGGAGGGACAGCTCCCTGCCCAGGTGTCTTGGCAGGATCGTTTCATCCTGTATTTTAACCACAGCTGCAGGTGGAATCCAGAGCAGGATGGGCTCCCAAGTCTCTCTCATAAATACTGAGTTACAACCCTCCGGACTGCCTGAAACAGCTGTGAAATAGCTCAGGGGATTTCTGTTCATCGCTACTAAAAGGGCACCATAATGTGTTTGGTACTTTTATGCAGTCAGCAACTGCCAGGTTATTGAATTGGAACAAACACATGAAATGAATTGTTTATCCATTGTACTGTTGAGAAACTTGGTTATGTATTTGAGGACGATTTAAAAAAAATTGTGATTTTTATTCTTAGTCATGTAAGAAATATTAGAGTGCCTTTTTATATTTGTGTATAATGGAAATGTTTTGTGAAACTTGTCTTTTTTTTTCATTTGAGTGTTATAAAAGCAATATATTACCAGTAAATTTTCATTTCAGACCTTCTTTGAATGTATAAAGTGTTTCTTCTTTTCATATGTTCTACCTGCATTGAAATGAAAATTAATATGCTAAATTTCTATAGGAATAATGTATAATTTTTGCAGTGCTGAAAATGCTTTCTTATTACACAAAAAGTAAACTTAGGTCAGTGTTATAGGAAAGGGCGTTTCAAACTAGTGACAATCTTGAGTGTGTGTATAAAATGTAATTTTATGCATTTCTTATGCAGTGATCTACATATTAAAGCCAATATCTTACGTTTTTTAGGTTTTGTCTTATATTTTATGCTTTAGCATGTGCAATATATCTTTACAAACCATGGTGATATGCATCTGGTGCCAGTGTTATATTTTGCATAACATTTGTAATAAACTATATAAAACATTGTTTGATGGTTTCGGTGGGGTTTTGTCGGTATTGTTTGCTTTTGTAAATTGAAGTTTAAGGACTTGGGTAAATGTCACATATGAAATGAGGAAAAAAAACTTAATTCATTGAATGACTTGGAATTCAACCCGAATCTTCTCAAGCACAGTTTAGTAACTTTTTAAACTACTGAATGCTGTATTAATGTAATAAAGAACCCTAACTGTAAACTACTCTTGCAATGCATTCAGATGGTTATTTTTACAAATAAAAATGGTACAAATACAGTGGAAAACTGAGTAAATTTTGTTTCTTTTAGGGGAGCCGGGACGGCTTAAGTATTTTGCAGTGAAGATGAAAATACAAGTATTTCATACTTCCCTCATAAATACCCTTTGCCCTAGAAAGCTGATTTTGCTTTCTCTGTAGATTCGGGGAAGGTGGGGGAGCAAAATAAACCACCACAGTAAATTTTTTTTTTTTTTTTTTTTTTGGCTCCGTCATTAAATATTTTACTGTTTTCCCTGGTGAGCCCCACCCGCACTGCTGGCTGTGCCCTGCAGCCGGCTGGGGCAGCAGCCCCACAGGGACTAAAATGCAGCGCAGAGCGTGAAGGTAGTAAGGTGTTAGAAGTACCCGAATTAAAGCAAACAAACACAACCCACAAAAAAAGGAGAAACAAACAAACAAAACCAAATCCCCACCAGCGCTTTTTAGGTGGTGAGTGCCTGCAGCTTTATGGGCGTTTATCACTGAACCCTCCCCCAGGGCACGGTCCGTGCCCGGCGGGGTGTGCGGGTTTATTTTCGGCCAGGTGTGGGGCCGGCTGGATGTGCCCCCGGGCCCGTCCGAGCGGCCCCGGCCCCTCACGGCCCCGGCCCTGCGCCCTCCCCATCAGCTCCCGCCCTGCCCCGCCCCGCCGTGCCCGTGTGCGCGGGGAGCAGCGCTCCGCTCCGCGGGGCGCCATGGGGCGGGCGGGCCGCCGGCTGCCTGCGCTGGCAGCGCTCTTCTACGGGGCACTGGCGGCCCTGGTGCTGCTGGGCGTGCGGGACGTGATGTTCCTCTACGAGGAGAACCGGTGCAGCATGACCTACATGTACGAGTACCCCGAGTACCTGGTGAGTGCGGCGGGTGTAACAGGTGGGAGCTGCCGCTCCCGGGGCGTTGCCGCCCGCCCTGCCGCGGCCGGAGCCCGGAGCCGGGAGCCTGAGGCGCAGCTCCCCCGGGGAGGGAGAACAGCCCCGAGCTCGGGGCTGGCTGCCGTGCTGGAGCGGAGAGCGGTAAATGGGGCACGGGCAGCTGGGGCGTGAGCGGGGCCGGGCTGGCAGGACGCGCTGCTGTGCCCGCGTCGTGTGGCGGTGCCCCTCAGGGCGAGAGAGCGGCCGAAGAGCTGCCCACCTGTAACCCTGCGGGGCGTTTGGTGCTGCCGCCGTGCAGAACGTGCCCGCGATCGGAGCTGCCAGTGCCTGGAGCTCCGTGTGGCTCTGTGGAACCCAGGAGCTCGCACGGGTGTTGGCCGAGGAAGGGGCTGGGCCAGCTCCTGTGCCAGCCCTGGCAGCGCCCGGGAGGCCGAGCCTTGCACTTCATGGCCCTTGTCACGACTTCGTAGCGTGAGGTAACCAGCGTGTCAAAAAAGCCGAGCTGAGCTTTGACTGTTAGTGTGTTTCTCAAGGTGGTGAGCAGTGGTGCAAAGTCTTCTCGGTGAGCACTTTGGAGGTGGCATGTACATGGGAGAGCTTGTAAATCCCTCTGAGGTGCCTCTTGTTTTGCTAACAGCCTTGTAGAAGTCTCTTTGAAAACCTGAGATCCGTTTGAGAGAGGGGACTGCACCTGGAACTGATGTTTTCGGCACACTATTCTAGCTTAGCAGTGGAAGGATGTAAATGCATATCTTTAAGTTTGCTGCTAATGCTGCAGCACGCAGTTGTTACAAAACTATTTCTCTTTTTGACAGTAGTAAATACTACAGCATTTTCTCTCTTATTAAAAGCATAATTGGTTGACTTCTGAGCATTCATTTTTCATTATCTGAGATCTAATTTATGTTGGAAAAAATAGTAATTATTCTAAATAACACAGGTCAGAAGTAGGTTGCAAGCTGGCTTGCACAATAAAGAAGTGTCTAAATTCAAGCTGGCTTGCACAATAAAGAAGTGTCTAAATTCAGTGTCTAAATTCGTAATGAAGCAGAAAGTTAATTTTTGTATCTATTAACCTTCATTTTCTAACCTTGATATAACCATTTTAGCCTACGAAAGAGGAACTTAGTATGGCTACGTGTTTCGTCAGTGCTGTAGAACAAATTTGTTTAAGTAGTTATAAGTACTTAAATACTGTGCAGCAAGTTTTCAGATCTCCTGGCAGCCAGCACCTACTTCAGCTTCAATCTGAAGCCAACCAACAGAAAGTTACTGGCAGAATCCGTGTGATGTTATTGGCGGCTGCCTGAAACTCTTGTCTGCCACCACATCTTTTGTATTTACTCATTATGTAAGGGCTGAAACTCCAGGCATCTTTAGGCGGGATGCAAGGCTTAAAGGTGAGCTGCAGTTCCATGCAGGAGTTGCAAGTCACAGCTGCTGTATTGCCCTCTGGAATTTCTGTTTCCTGTGGAATCGCTTTTGCCGTGCAGAAAACAGCACTTTGGGCTGGGGGGCAAGTTGTGAATTCGTTTGTGTTTGTTGAGGTATTGTACTTCACAAGTGGCTTTTTATTGTTGGAGGTGTCTGTTGTGTGTGCAGCGCTGCCTTCACTAGGAAACCCCAGGGTGGGAGGTGCCTGTCCTTGCTTTCGGATTGGTATCACATTACAAAACAAACAACTGCTCGAGCAGTTAAACGAGAAGTTTAATTTCTTTTGTGCCCGTCAGTGTGGGCTAGCTCACAGTCAGCCTAGTAATTGATCATCTTTTTTTGCATGAGTTTTAGAATTGCAGTGTTTGAATTTAACCTGCCCTTGTCCTGTTCAGCTGTACTTGGCAAGAGATTCAGAAGTTAGTAATGAGGACTTGTTCACGTAAACCTAATTTCTTACAGAACCAGGGTGAAAAACCAAGCCTGCACTGACATTATCAAAAGTTGCTGTAGCTTGCTACAACTGATTGCATAAGCAGTGTCTTGGGAATTCACAGTTTAAACCCACTGTCATGGAACATGAATGTCTCTTTACCTTTGGAGTTATACATTGCCCTTTTGTTACAATATTTAAATACTGTGATTTACCAAAAAACCCCCCAACCTCCCATTGTTTTGACAGTACAATTCTCATGGGTTGTGTGAGTTTTTGTGTTTGACAATGCCCCAAGGAAGAACAGCATGTTAATTTTATGTTCCATAAAAGTTTTTGAAAGGACAATGAACCAGGAAGTTTCTGTGGATGAGCAGTTGATTTGATCTGTCAGGAAGTCATATAAACACATCTTGGTGACACTCTTAGTTTTGTAATGGGAACTGCTGAAGGTTTTTTGGCATACTTTTGAAAGCCTTTCCAAAAGGAGCAGCAGAAAGGAACAAGAATGGGACAGTGAGGTGAGTGAGGCTGGAAAGGCAGGATGATGATGAAGAAAGGGAAAAGACCAAAGGATGATCTGAAGATAAGCCCTGAATGAAGCTTAAATTTTCTTGTTCTCAGTGAAAGAATTTACCTCATACTCTCTATTGTGTTAATGAATGAAGATAATTAAAATACTATAAATAATACACACATCATATAGATATATCTCATAGAATAGAGATTTTATATTTTACATATATATATGTATATAATCATAAAAATAGTTTGCAAATAACCAATATACCAAAAACTTTGAAGGCCAAGGGGGAAAGAAAATAGTCAGTAGGTGAGGAAAGATAGACAAGAGCAGGGGAAGGGAAGGAGTGTGGGGGCACAGAATTAAAGCTAAATCATCTTTATGGTAGAGGCAGCTGAGAGAAACAATAAATTATTTGAATTAAAGAGGCTTCTATTTCGGGGAAGCAATTAAGAGAGACTTTACAGGAGATTTCTGATACAAAACTGAGTTTAGTCTTGACCTTGTTCTGTAAAAGTGTTTTCTTAAAATACAAATTACACCTTAGTACATGTATCTTTGTATTATCTTATTTTTCTCTCAGTTGTTACATAATTGTAACATAGTTAATCGAATATTGGAATGAGTGTATTTGCACTCAAAAATTTTAAAAATTGTATCTTAGAATTATAAACCAACCAGCCTCTATGCAGGTGTTAAACCAAGACAGTAGTAAACAGGAGCATGTTTAATTAAGACAGTGCCTTATGACTCTAAGAGATTGACTTACTGGTGTAAGATTAATCCTCACCTAGCCTTTGGGATCAAAGAGATTTTGTTCTTTTCTCTTTGGGGATCCTAATCCTGTGAATCAGATGTGTGCTAGGTTAGTGGGTTGCTTGTTGTTGTTTAGGGACAGCTGACATGTACGTTAGACCTTGAGCTGTTCCAGAACCGGGCGCTTTGTCAGACCACAAACCCAGCTCTGAAAAGGAAACAGAAAAAGCCTCAGAGGACCATGGGTTTGTTTTTTCTGCTGAGCTGTATTGAGGTGGTAACTGCTGTTGTTTAAACTCCACTGCAGGTGACATCTCTGTAGAATTCAGCTAGCAGAATTCCCACGAGCTCTGCAGTTTCCCCTGAGGTAGCAGGTGGTACCTGACAGTCACCCACATCCTGCTGCTCGTATCCTTGTGCTGAGATCCATGGCCTTGGGCAGGGCTCCAGAGCCATTCCGGTGCATCAGGAATAGTTAGCATCACTCTTGTGCCCCTGTTTCTGGTCTCAGCTTCTCTCCTGGGAGAATTGGTGGGGTTTTGACATGCCTTTTTTTTTTTCTTTTTTTTTCCTTTCTCCCACCTGTGTTATAAGGCTGGATTTCTGGATTTACTTTATGAATGTGCAGCTTTGATCGATACACAATTGCATTCATTTGTAGTTTGTTTCAAAGCTAGTTGAAGGTAATCGCTGTTTAGGAAAACTGCCCATTCTTTATGCCCCGTAGTACTTACTTAAACAATTTGTTTGATATTCCATTTTTAATTAGTTGGGTTTTTTTTTAAAGCCAACCCAGTTTTTCATTCTGTATTCTTTAGACTGTAATTGACAGCCATAAAAATAAAACCACATATGCCAGATCATTTAAATGGCTGGATAGCCACTGTATTTTCCTGTTTGGAACTTATAAACAAGGTCTTTGTTTTCTTTTTAACTTTTGCAATAGAAAATAAAACTACCCAAGAAAATAGCCAGACGATACCCAGCATATGAGCTGTATCTCTATGGGGAAGGGAGCTATGCTGAAGAAAACAAAAATCTCCTATTGACAGGAATTCCAGTTCTCTTTCTGCCTGGGAATGCTGGCAGTTACAAACAAGGTAAGTGTTTAGCTGAGTTATAGCTTTGTTACAAAAAAGCTCTCAGATTTGTGCATTTGGTAGTTTTCTGTTTGAAATAATACCAGACCGAGTCATAATGGTTGATCATATTAGTCTGTTTAATTCCAAACAGTCAAGATACATGATTTTTGTTTGAAATCAGTCGAATGGTTAAGCTGTAGTATTTCTCTGGAGCAAGCTTTTTGACAGCCAGAAACAGTACAGCTTATGCAGTTTATGCTCTGGCAGCACTGCATCCTTGCTGTACTTTTGATTGCAAACATCTAGTTGGTTTTGATTTGAACAATGTTTAGTGCAGTTAGTGCCAAATAAAACACAACCTGAATTTGATTAGGACAAACTGAACCATCTGTCGTCTGAGATGTAAAGGAATTACATGCTATAGAAATCAGCATCACCTAAGCTTGTCCTCTGGTTTCATTATTCCCTACATCTTTATATAGTGGTGTTTTTTCCTTAACGTTGTCTTCCCACCTTACACATAGCCTCTTTTGTTTTCCCTCTTACATTTCTAGTCTCCAAATGAAAGGCAGAATCATTTTAAAGCATTTTTATTTTTCTGAATACCAAAGCTAATGGTACATGAGGTTTTGTGTTTCAGTGCTTACTTTGGTACCTGCTATTCCTTCCAGTCTGGGTTTGTCAGACTGTTATTTTTGTTCCCTAAAATGTGCTTTAAAACAGTAAACAACACTTTCATGATGTTAGAAAATGGATGTGTGTGGGGGGGTGGAAAATAGCATAGTCTGAGCCCTGATTTCTTACTGTGATAATTTTTCCTTATATTAGCACTAAACTTGATGATTAAATTAGCTGATTTCAGAGAACCTTTAGAGAGCTGGGGTTTTTTGAGAATGTACTTGCTTAGCTTACAACAATGTAAAATATTTTACCAATTAGTACTTTCAGAAAACCCATAGAGACTTCCAGGCACAATAGCATCCCAATAAGATTACAAACATAATGAGAGGTGCCATATGGACTTTTGTGATTGTGCATCAAATATTGCAAATCTGTGAATTAATGCTGTCTCTGAACACACGGCAGTACATCACTATGCAGGAAATAGAATGGTACTCTCAGGGCATTTTAGGAATCAGAAGGAAATATCTGAAGAACAAACTAACTAGGTGAGTAGAAGTGCTACATGCTATAGGAAAATAAATATTTTAGTAATGTTATTTTTGGAACGGATTTAGGGAGACTGGCAATACGTCATCTGTGCATTTTGGAAAACTTTTGTTAAAATTAATTCATATTAATTCTTTGTTCAGAATTTATTGTGAGATAACACAGTTTTATTCTGATGCCTGGATGAGCAGAGAAGGTGTTGCTATCGTAATTTTCATAGTTGTTTAAAATATATTCATTTTTGCTAAGCAGTGAAGACAGGTGCTGCCACTGCCTTTGCTGGCCTTGTTATTTTCATCGAACCATTTAGGTTGGAAAGGACCTTTGACATCATAGAATGCAAGCATTAACCCAGCCAAGCCCATCACTAAGCCATGTCTCTGAGTGCCACATCTACACAGGTTTTAAATGCCTCCAGTGATGGCAACTCCCCACTACCTTGGGCAGCAAGTTCCAATGTCTGACCACCCTTTTGGGGAAGAAACATTTCCTGAGATCCAGTATAAATGTCCCCTGGTGCAACTTGAGGCCATTTCCTCTTGTCCTTTGACTTGAAAGAAGAGGCTTACTCACAACCCACCTTCAAGAGTTTTTGATGTGTTACAGACATTTTTGAAATATTAATTCATCATCTTTCATGGGCACTAAAGTGAAATTTGTAAAATGTACAAAATTCAGACTTTGAGTAAAAGACAATCTGAGAAGGAGGGTTCTGCTCTTCTCTCAGCCTGTACTCTAGGAGAATCTTGCTCCTGTGTGCTGGATTTGTGCAGACCTTTATGACCATCATTTGTTGTTTTATATAGGCTTTCTTTTGGGACTTTCTCTTTTATTTTCTGCTTCTGCTACCATACCTTCTTATTTGCAGCTGTTATTGTTCCCATCCTGCATTGTCTCCGTGGAAACTTAGGAACAATTCTGCACACAAAAGGCTGTATTGACTAGTAGCCCGGGTTAGACAAGGAAGACAGATCAGAAGCAAGACCTTGTAAAGTGAACATTTTCTCACTTGAATTTTAGATGGACAAGTGTCCTTTAAGGTTTGGTTTTGCAATCCCCCATACTTATCTTAGTAGTATTTGGGAATGTTGTCATAGAGTTGATGGCCTTCAAAGGAGTTTTAGGAAAGCCTAGCAGTGGGACTGCCTCTACAGTTGGAATCAAGAATGCCTTCTTCTCCTAGTGGCACTAAGAAGGTGCGAATGAGATGAGAAAAGCAGCCCCAAGGTGGAGGAACACGATTTTTACATAAATTTATTCCTGACATAAAACATCTCTGTTGTCAGCAGTAAACTGAAAAGAAATGGTTTGGTTTAGAATGTCTTTTATAAATTACTTGAGATGAACAATGGATTTAATGTATTTGTTTCTTATTTGATTATGTATTTATGTGTATTTCTGCTAAAGTGATGCTAAGCAGTGACTGTTGGGCTGTTCTGATTGCTGTGGTTTCTTTTTCTAGTACGTTCTCTTGGCTCCATTGCACTTAGAAAAGCAGAAGATGTTGACTTCAAGTATCATTTTAATTTCTTCAGTGTCAACTTTAATGAGGAGTTGGTTGCATTGTATGGTGGTAGCTTGCAACGGCAGACCAAGTTTGTGCATGAGTGCATAAAAGTAATTCTTAAGTTGTACAAGGTAAGTAGTGACATGTGCTGAGCAATGCATTTCCATTTGGGAATGGAATTCTGGGCTGCCTTTCCTGCTGCAAAACTGAGGGGTGATGAGTAGGGGAGGGACACTTTATAATGTATCTAGATATTAGAAGCTGATAATAATGCAATAGAGAAGTACTTTTCTTTAATGGATTTTTAGTACTTTTGACAATCCCAGGGCTTTAAGGAGGTTCTGTGCTGTATTTCTAAATAAATACTTCTATGCACAATGGATGTCTTTTTCTAGTAGAGATGTAAACATCTGTAGCTTACTAAATTATTCAGATAGCATTGCCTTACATCAGGTTTTCTCTAGGAAAGTTCTTTGATGTCCTCTGTTCCTAAAAATTTCAGAAATTAAAACCAGCTTAAGTTTACTAAGCTTACACAGGCTACACAGTATTTCCTTTTGGGCTGGATGCTTCATATTAAGCACATTTTTGTGAGATAGCAAATAAATTTTTATTCAGTTTGTAAGCTTGTTAAGTTGATGCTAATTTATGTTGTCCTTGAAGGACCATAAGTTAATTTGGGCAGGGTGGGAGAAATCTACAGCTAATAAGAACAGTTCAATGTCAAATCTATTTGTTTCTCTGTGATGTTTCTGATTGCTGTTTGCTGCAGGATCGAGAATTTGCACCGAGCAGTGTAGCAATAGTTGGGCATTCCATGGGTGGTCTTGTTGCAAGAGCATTGCTCACTCTAAAGAATTTTAAGCCTGAACTTGTAAACCTGCTCATTACACAAGCCACACCTCACGTTGCACCTGTAATGCCTTTAGACAAATACCTTACCGGTGAGTATTGCATTTGTCTAATCACATGGTGTTGCTTCAGTGATCCTCTCGAGCTTTGGTGGGGAGATTCTTGCAAATAAACAGCAAAATGTGCTGCTTTGTTTGCTGTAATGAATCTGTTCCTTTGTTACTCAGGTAGTTGAGAGTGCCAGGATACTCAGAGAAAGTCAAGTGTGTAGAATGGATTATGTGGACTTGAGTTTGTGCGAGGCCTGGAGCTCTCAATGATTTGTAATTTCATAAGTTGCAGGGCACGTTACTAAATTTGTAAGCCTTCCAGTGAATGACATATTTTTTTTCTTTATTTTCTCCTCTTTTGAAACTTGACCTCTGTAATGACTTTTATCTTTATGGAATGAGATAGTGTTAGTTCTGTAAAAGGTGATAAATTTAATGTTTTTCATACCCAAAGGTTCTACAACTGAGAATATAAATATAGATGTAATTACATGTTTTAAATATTTACAAAAAAGATCATATTTTCCCTCACCTAAATAAGTGTGGCGTAAAAATGAAGTATAATCATTACACTTGTACTATACACTTCCTGAAAAGCTAGATTTGATTAAACCATACTGATTAAATATGTGTTTAGTGATAGTTGTGCTGCTACATGTAGATACTGAGGGAATTGGTGAAGGAAAGGGAACAGACATGAATTTTCATTGTTCTCTGTGACACCCAAGAGGAATGAATTATCTTTAGCTGCTGGATTTGATTTATTGTGCTTGTATTAATTCTCCATCCTACAATTGATTTCAGTGCAATGTTTCTTCCTTACTGACTGTTTCTGGACTTCAAGTAAATCTGTGTCTGTCCTTCAAATAAACCTGTGGATTGCTACTCTAACAATATATGTGCTCAACTGATAAAGAAAATGTATGTCTTCCCTAACTGCTACCTCTTTGGGTTAAAACAATAATTTTCCTCTCTTACATGAATCAAAAGTGATAATCAGAGCTCAAATGTCTCCAAGGGGGCTTACAGAAACTTTTAGTTAATGTTTATATAGCTTTTTTTTTTTTTGTATATCAAATAGGTTTATGGGAAAATGGTGATTGATTTTAATATATTTTATAGATTTTTATACAGCTGTAAACAATCATTGGATTCTAAAGGCCCAAGATTTAAGAAATTTAACTACCCTTTCTGTGGCGGGAGGATTCAGAGATTACCAAGTTCGTTCAGGACTGGCTTTTCTACCAAGATTGAGTCAACATGACAGTGCCTTATCTGTTGTGGTAAAAAAGCAAACTGTTTTTTTTTGGTTTTGCATGGAACTGTGTTAGATAGTTATTAATGTAATGCATGTATCAGTGTCTATATGGGCAGTAAAGTGTAAATAAATATGAAAATACTGCATGTTCAAACACTAGATGGATACTGTATGGTTATAAAACCAAAAGTAGTTGATGTAGTCTAAATGAGCCTCCACTGGAGGAGTATGTGTGGCACTGATTGGAATCATCTCTCACTTGGTACTGTTTCTTCTTACCACCTGCTTGCACTTCTTCAGTTCCAGAACTCAGGTTTTATTTCCCGCTGTTTTTGCAAGAGATGTGTGTATGGAGAAAGGTGAAGGTGTAGTATAGAAGTAGAGTGTTTTACTATAAAAGAGAGCTCTGGCATAGCACCTTCTTTTTTCAAAGAATTTAGGAATAGAAAGGATGTAGAGGATCATCAAGTCCAATTTTCTGCTTTTTGAGACATCTATTCTTTCAAAATTAATCAAGGGTCATCAGAAAGTATTTAGACTTGTTGTTCCATCCCCTCTCCTTCAACTTGTTCCCTACATGGACAATGGAGAAGCTGGAAAACGCTCACAAGGAGGTGGCAAATTTGTACTTCCCAACTTCCATTTACTGCAGAAGCCAGTTTTTTAATGTCTTTCTTCTGACATCTGCTTAAAATGTTCTATGAAATAGCTGTCATTCCCTTGGTGTTTACCTCCCTGTGTGTTGTACAGATAGCTGTCTATAAATAGGCTCAGCTCAGATCCTGCTAGGCTAAGAGGATTAACTCTGCATTCCCTTTGTCCTAGTAACCCTTCTCTTCATCTGCTCTATTTTCATTTCTCTTGAGTGTTGGTAACCAGAATTTTGCATGAGATTTCCTGAGTAGTGGTACCAGCTCTTTCTGGTTTTTGCTTGGTTTGTTTTGAAGGTTGTGTTGTGGTTGCTGTTGTTCAGTTTGGTTTTTTCCTTCCCAATGATGCGTTAATAGTTCATAGTTTGATTCATATTGAGCAATAGGTTGATGAGCTCCATTTGTGGGAGGTTTTTTTGATAGTGTTAGTCCCTAATATGTAATACATGAAATCCATTTTAAGCAAGTAATAGCTTCAGACTGACCAGGTCTTTCTTTGTGGTGTTCTGATGGTTTTGCTGTTGAGGATGTCCTTGGTTTCTCAACAGCCGCTTTCATTGGCATGCTGCTGTTCTCATGTGCCAGGATCAGTTATTAAAATAGTAAGATTAGTCATAGAAGCAGTCTTTGAAGAAATTTTGGTAAGTTTCCTCCTCTCCATTTTCTGCCCTTTCACCGTTAGTCTCTGCTATCTGACACAGATAGCTTGGTAATTTTGTTTTATCATTTCCACCTTGCACGTGCTTCAGTGCTTGCAAGGTGGGTGACTGAAGAAGTCATTCTGTTGTACCCTAAGTCCTGAAACTCTTAAGATAAAGGCTGTTCTTTTTAATCATTTTGCAAATATGTTTTAATAAGGAGGGGAAAATTTCCCATATAATTTTAGAATGTTGAGTACTAACAAAAGTTTAACGCTTTTCTTCACCCAAACAGAGCTCAGCTGTGCCTAGAGCTTGGGCCTCAACTGACCATCTCTCCATAGTGTGGTAAGATAATGGAACAAAGGTTAATTGACTGACTCTTCTCCACTGTTATCACTTCCTACCATAATTTAACTTCAGTTTAATATTATGGTGAAGTCTCTTCTGACAAGTTTTATCACCCTGGATCTTTCCTTTCTAGATTTAATTTTATTTATTCTGTCTTCTAGGTGCAAAGAACTGATCCTGGCTACCGTTAGAGCTTTTTTTGATCTCATAGATGAAAATACAAGGCAGGTCTGTGTATTTGATCTCTGTATATTTCTTCTTCCATCCCAGAATGTTTAATCAGGAGAAATATCTCCCTATTCTACAGAAAACTCTTTTTTGATTATTCTAAGTCACGCTGAGAAAGTTGTTTCAATTTTGTACCAGTCACTGGAAAATCCCTTTGTGTTGTTTGACCAAAGAGTCAGAAATAAGGTGTTAGCTCAGTTTTCATTATAAAAATGAAATGCTTGATGCTTTATAGCTGAGCTGTGGGCTGAACATTTCTTCCACAAAGCAGCAGGTTCAGTTGACCTTGCACCAGGATAAACAAATTTTGTTAGATCTGTAGCTGTGAATTTGACCTCTCAATATGTACATAAGAGCAGAGCCCAAGACACAGAAGAGGAAGGATTTTAGGTGTTCCTTCTGAGGCTGCTTGGGACAGACTCTAGTTTTTCATGTGTGCTTAATTTAATGTGTGATTTAGAGAGACAAAAAGAGCAGTACAGTTGTTCTGCAGCACTGACTGTGCTAGAGGGTTAAACTTCTCAGAAATCAGTTGTAGTGGCCAGTTTTGGAAGGTGGAATAGATAAAAATGAGTCCTGGAAGGCTTATTTGGAAAAAGCAAAACCAAACTGATCAAAAAACAAAAAAATCCCACCCAAAATCCCAAACAAAAGTGAGTCCCAGTGAGGCTATACATCTGGATATGAGAACTCAGATTAGCCTAAATGTGAGAATTTTTCTTAAGCTCTGGCCTGAGTGTCATTTCAGGAAGAGTGCATGTGTGTCTATAAAGAAAGTTTAATGGAATGGTTTCCTGGGGTTATGAGTAGGTGACACTGTAAAACTCCTGAAAGTTTTGGCTGTGCTTTATAATGTGTGGATTTTCTGTATTGCAGTGATTGACTATTGATGGTGCTTCAGAGCATTGAATTCAGAACAGAAAGGGCTCAATGTCTTCTAACAATCTCTCCTGCCTTCCCCCCACAAAACTGTATTGCTAGCTGTGATCATGAGATGATCTTAAATCTCACACATTGGTAAAAAATGATAATCTGCTCTTGTTTTAGATAACTGAGGATCCAAAGAAAAGAATGTCTGTACTGAATCACCATTTTGTGAGACACCCTGCAAAGATGTTTGAGGAAAATCCTGACACTTTTACACACCTCACAGGTGAGCAGCAGTTTTCTTTTGAATAGGATTCAGTGATACTGCTTTGTTAATGGTTAATCTTCTCACTAACAAAGTTTCAGAATACACTTTGTCCTCCTTCAGACAAGATAAAACGATATACAGGTTATAGGCCTAAGCAATCTGCTTTTATTTGGTTTTGGTATTAAATTGGTTAACAAGGGTGGGTGCAAAAATCTGTCACTTTTATATAGCTCAGATTCTGAGGACTCATATTTACACCAGGTTGTCCAGCAGAAAATCTCAGAAAGTGAGAATTGCTGGATGTCCAAAGGGCAGTCTTATCTACAGTGGTTGCAGGAGGGATTGGATGGGTGTTGCAGAGCCATTGTGGTAGTTTTGTGCTGCTCATGGAAATCCTGAATGTTCAGATCTGCTCCACGAATCACTTCTTCCCATGACATGGCAGGGTGAAATGAACCGTTCACCAAGGGTTTCCTTGTAAAGTTCCTTCCTAAGGATGCAGAGTTAAAAGTGAGAGATTTTGACTGCCTGGAGTCTTAAGGACTAAACACAACTTTTGTAGGACAAACCTTTATTTTGCTGAAGTGGGCTGAACTGTTTTCTACAAACCATTTTATTTCAGGAATATTCTCAGTGTAAGACATTGTAGAAGTACCAATGTAGCTTGTACTTTGGTGTCCAGTTTTGGGCACCCTCTTACATGAAAGCATTTGTTCATTGCCATCTCCTGAAATGAGTGTGGAGCAAAAGAGCACCAGAATGGGCAGTTCCTGGGGCATAGGAAATGGGGGAAAGAGGCTGAGTGAACGGAGGATTTTCACCCTGAAGAAAATGCTGAGGGGGATCATGTTGCTGTTTTTAACTACCTAATGAAGAATTGGAGAGAAGATGAAGTTAGATTTTTATCAGAGGTTTACAATGATAGCACAATTGGCAGTCAAAATCGTGTTGTAACAAACGACATTCTAATTAGGTATTAGGAAAAAAATATTTCACCAGGAAGGTGGTCAAACACTAGAACAGGTGCCCAGAGAGGTTGTGAAACTGATGTTTTGGGAGGGTTGCCTTTTTTTGGGTCAGTTTTTAGCAAAAAGAAGAAATGGTTTAAATTGGATTTCATGTTTCTGTCTTCCTATTCATGGTGACCTCTTGACAGTTAGCTGAATTTCTGTCATGAACTTGTTACTCTCCTTAAATAGAAGAAAGATACAACCTCTTTGCATGACAATTGGCATTATTTGTACTCTGATCTCTTCATTATTGTCTTGCTCTTTTTCCCTAGCCATATCTTTAAACTGCTCCTGGTTTTTTTGTGTGTTGTTGCTGATGTTCTTCTGCACAAGTTTCTGTATCAGCTTTCTAAAAGACTGACAGAAACAAAGATTGGGGCTGTTCTTAATGTTGCCTCATTATTAATCACTCACCCTACAATTATGTGAATATAAGTTAGTTTATTTGTTTTGTTGCCTTTATTTTGTTTCAAGATCCATGGGGTTTTTATTTTGCCATTAGTATTTAGTAACAGGATCCTAGGACTTTATTGCTTCCTGTGGAACTGATGATAACTGTTGCATGTAATTGTAAGCAGTAGCAATGCTCAGTGTTGATTAAAGCACATAAGGTTTATATCCATATATAGATAGGAGATAAGACCTTGATGATCAGTAAAATACAAGATTTTGGATGTAAGGATAATTGTTCCTGCAGTGCAGCATACTGAAATATTTATTATTTTTAGGAGCTTTCAATTGGATTACAGTCAAAGCCTCAAAATGGACTTACTCAGTTTACAATGTAAGTAATATTTTTCCCCGTTGTGTGTTTATGGTTTTGTTTTAGTTGTTTTGTTGGGGGGGGGGGGGGGGGGGGGTTGTGTTGTTTATCTTTTTACTAATGAGTTGTGGTGGTTTTTTTTTTAGGATTCTGATGGAAAATATTTTGCATTTCCTCTTGCAAGCCACAGAAAATCATACAGTCATGTTTACTGTGAAAATAGTATGTTGGTGAGAAAATACTTTTTTAACGTCTGGAGTTCATTTATGAAGATGTGATTTTTAATTTCCATTTGCTGCAGTCTTTAGGCAGTTAATGATCAGCTGTTGAAATTGCTGCCATCCATTTACAGTCACAGCCTAATGCATGTCAGAGGTACTACCTGTTTTAGCATGCCACACTTAGTATTCAAGATCTCAAACCTTCAATGCCACCTGAGCCTCAAAGGTTTTCTTTCTGACTCTTCTGGTAAGCTCTAGATTACTGTGTCCTTTAATTTAGTGCAGTTCTATATTGATGGTTTTGAAGGAAGAAGTTGTTTTTAGTGGTTCTAAGTTTTTGCCATACTTCTAATTTGGGAAAGCTGTTTGTAGGTTTGCTTTCCCATAATAAAATTTAAGTGAGCCTGAAAGGCTGAAGAGATCTTTCACTAAGGAGAGAAAGTGAATGGAAGACAGATGAGGAGACAGCACCATCTCAGTTGACTCCTATGAAAAGGAAACACCATAATGTGCATTTCTTGTATTTTTAGCTTGTGACACATACATTCAGCCAATTTTTTTTTTTCAGTTTTTTTTAATACAAGAATGAATTTAATCTCTTGGCAAACTGAAGATGGATAAATACACTTTTCAGAATCATGTATTTTACATTAGTGGCAAGAAAACTGAGATGCTTTCTTGTTTCATCCTGCCTGTCCCTGTTGCCACTCCTCCCCTTGCCAGAGATGGCATTCATATCACATTGTGCACAACAATTGTCTGTGCTTGGTGCTTTTGTAATTGTCCTTCTCAGTGGCACCCTCAGTGTCTGCATGTATGTTGTGATCTTAGTTGTGCTTTGATAGGATACCTTTTGCCCTTGTTATACAGTCTGAAACACAAGCCTAGTACAGCTTGAGAGGAGGAGGGAGGTACAGACCAAATGTCTGAGAGCTGCACCATGGTGCTGTTGCTTCGGAACACTTCATTTCTCAAGGGACGGAGCAGTAGAACATTAAATATCTAAAGTATTCCTCTACTACCTAGAAGAGTACCTTGAGGTGTTTCTTTTAGTTAGAAGAGATTAAACGTGATATGTAAGATGGATATTTTTAAAAGAGAATTTATGAAAGCTTGTTTGCTTAACTTTGTATTTATTCGTATAAAGGGTGGCAAATTGAAGTTATTTAAAATGGTTCCTAGAAACCCCCACCATTCACTCCAAAGCTTCACCTTTCTGTCCTTGCAATTACAATTGCAAGATTATGATATCAGTCCTTTAATTATCATCAGTTTTAACCCTTGCATTGGTTGAAGTAATCAGTATTTTTAATATATTTATAAATGCAATCACACCTAGGTAATGTAGTATTTTATGGTATTGACTTTACAGGACACAAGTAGCTGGATTTATGGCTGCATGAACACTAATTCATCAATGTGGTGAGTATGAACAATTCCTGTTCTTTATTCAAATGGGTTTTGTGAGACTGTGTTTGAATTTAAAGTGTATAAATTATTCTTGGTAGGAAGGAATTGGGAAGTAAAATCATTACTGTAAATAATTCATGCTTTCTGTATCACCAGGAAAACAGGAAAGAATAGCTTTTCTTAAAATAAGTGATATTCTTCTCCAGGGAGCTGTATTTCTGACCTTCACAGCAAGAGCTGGAGAGGGACCTTTCACAAGGGCATGAGGTGGCAGAACGAGGGGTAGTGGCTTTAAACTGGTAGGGCAGATTTAGGTTGGATACTGGGGAGAAGTTGTTACTGTGAGGGTGGTGAGGCATTGGAGCAGCTCCCCCACAGAGGCTGTGCTTGTCCCATCCCTGGAGATGTTCCAGGCCAGGCTGGATGGGGTCCTGAGTAACCTGGTGTAGTAGAGGGTGTCCCTGTCCACAGCACAGCTGTTGGAACTAAATGGTTTTTGATGTCCTTTTCAACCCAAACCACTCTGTCATTCTGTTTCTTTAGAATCCTGTGACAAAAGAGGTCAAATGTCACACAGAGCCTTCAAAAGAGTGGATTAAAGCATCTCTTTCTTTTTTACTTCAAATTTGCTACTGTCATATGAAAAGTACTTAGAAGGGTGTGTGGTTTAGTGGTTATTTGTTATGACAGTCATTACACAATAGATTTAAAACATTGTCTGAGCTTAAATTTGTAAAATAAACTCAAATTCAATCTACCCTTCAAATTAGGGAAAGCTTCCAGGCAAAATTGAACTAGCAGAGTTTTTATCAGTTCTGGGATCACTGAGGTGTACAGCCAGAGTCTTGCCTCCAGCAGATAGCCAAATGTCACAATTACTTTTTCCTGATCCAAGAAGTTGGCTGTTACTCCTTTGCAGAGCCTTTGATCAGCATGAAGTGCATGTTACTAGTTCAGAACTGCTACTTAAACCTCATCTAACAATAGTGGGTTGGCTGTGAACTGTGTCCTGAGGTCATGAGCACTATTCAGAGAAGCAGCAGTATTCTGGTATTCAAATAACCAAAACCTGAAGTGACCAAATGGATGTGTTGCAGTTCAGTGTGTGAACACATTTTAGAACTGCTGCAAGGTCTTTAACAGCGAACAAAATTTTTTATTTATATATCTATTCTAGATATTTCCATAGGAAAATTGGTGCTTTTGATGTTTAACAGATGCTAATAAAAGTGCGTGATAATTCAGTGCTAGTGCAGTTTTAGCTCATGAAAAGTTTTCATTTTGTGTCTGAGCTGCCTGGAGAATATGTGCTGCAGGTTTTCTGTATGAGAGAGTTGGAGCTTTGCTTGGCTTGGTTTTGCACAAATAAGATTTGCACTATCTGAAATTACTGCAGTTTGATAGATTACTGTGGTAGCAGTACACCCAAATTTCTTCTCAATTTAAAATGTTAATTCAGAGAGAAGGAGAGAAGTTGGTATATTAATCCAGTGCCATAATGCTGGGCCTGCATAATGAATATGCTCATCCTTTAATGTGCATGAATTTTTACAGCCTGGAAGCTGCTGATTTATCCAGGAGAGCTGAGTTACTTCCAACCACCAAGGTAAGTGTGAACCTGACTTGTAGGAGTGAGAGGTGTTTCAGGGGATGGTTGCAAGTCATAGAGGAAGGATCTGTTCTGTTTGGAGCATTGGGACAGATTGTATTCCACAGGAAGAGGGTGCAAGGGGTAGACAACTAGGAACTGGCAAGGGGCAAGCTAAGGGGTATGTTCAGTAATGGTTTGCTACTTCCTTCTCTCTTTTTCTTTTTTCCTTTCTTTTTAAGGTTGTAATGCTGAAACTTCTGGACTATCCTTCTTTGTCCCACATTGTCATTCAGGTACCACCTGCAGCTGGCAATAAGGTAAAAAAATATGACATTCAGAAATTGCTTGCTTAGTGCATCCATAACTTTCAGGTGCTATGACAGGAGGAAAAGGAAGTATATTAATATGTGCTAAGTTACTTTGAGAAACCATAGACCCACAGTGTAGTGTAGTTTGAAAGTAGCTTCTGTAAGCTGAGAAACACTTTGATAAAATACCAAACAATAAGGCACGAACAGCACTTGAAACATGTACAAAAGCACAGTTCTCAAATCAGTTCTTAGAGTTCTTGTTGGAGATCCTAATGGTAATCTTCCTTGCTTTGCTTAGTACTCTGATTGTTTTCCTGAGTGTTCATACCTTTGAACAGTCATTTCTCTTACCCATATTAGCAGAGAATACAGATAATTGAAGGCACCACACCTGGATTCTGGGAAGAATAGGTCAGATAGCTCTGCAAGCTCTTAAACCACAAATGATGTAGTAGACTGAGTTGTGCAGGGTTTAACAGTTTGAGTCTCACAAATAAGATGGGTGTCTTTGCATCAAGGGCTCCCAGTAAGAGGACATTGGAAGGCTTGGTGTGTTACCCGTCTGGATCTGGCAGACTTTCAAGTTAGTCCTGAAATGGCAGAGTACTGAATTGGAATTTCCAGCCTAATCAGATCTGACATTGCTTTCTGTGACACAAATTGAGTCTCTGAGTCTGTAGTATATTAATCCATGGTCCAAGAAATTATTCACAGCACAAGTGAGTGTGATGTTCTTCATCACTTCTTCTCTGAGTGTGTCTTCAGATAGTTGTGACAGAGGCATCTTGCAGTGAAACTAGTAATGCACAATTTTCAGGGTAAGCAAAGATAGAGGAGAGATCGCTTGGGAAATGTAATTTGGCAAGTACAAAGGCTTTCTAGTCTTGTGCTTTGGTTTAGATCTGTTTTTAATATCCTCAATTGCAGTATACTTTGGGCTGTGAATTCTTCAAAGAGGATTCCAGAACAGTCCAGCTCCCTGTAACACATCTTTTTTCATTTGGTAAGTATAGCATATTGCTTTCAGAAAAAATGGAAAACTAATATAACTAACCTTTGAATAATAAATTTGCCTAAAAATGTCAGGTTAGGAGGTTTTTGGGGCTTGTTTTTCACTAAAGCTAACGCTTCTTTTGTTAGTAACAAAGAAATAAGAAATGTGGGGGTTTAGACTTACAGATATGAAAGTATGTAATTCTCCTGGAAAATAAATAATCTGAATATGTAGTGAGTTCTCAGATAATTTTATCTAATAAATGAAAGTATTGTATCCTTTCCAGGGTTTTCTTCAAGCAAAATTATATTAAATTCAACTGGATTATTTTACAATGTACAGCTCCAGCACTTCAACCAAGTAAGAATGCTACTTAAGTTTTTGAGGTCATGTAACCACTGCTTGTCTGGAGAAAAGTGAGTGAATTCTATTTTTTTGTGTTCTAGATATATCAAGCTTTCAAAATTTATATAGACAGTCACTGCCAGTCACTCAAAGGTAAATAGAAATCTTCTAAAGTACAAATTTATAAAAAATTGCTGAAAATTTGTAGAAACTAAAGTCTTCTCATGCAATGGAGTTTAGGCAATGCTGCTATGGTCTGTACAAATGTGTCTGCTAATATCTCTCACTTCCCACTTTAAGAAGGATGGATCAACGAAAATGAAGAATTTTTAATTCTTTTAATGTTTGTTTTTCTTATTTCCCAGCAAAGGGACGTTGAATTTTCATTAGGATTCTGCCTCATATTGAAAATGTTTCTTGAGAAAAGCACATTTGCCTAGGATTTTTATTTGCTAATAACAGGACTCAAATTTGAATGTTGAGCTACATAAGCTTAAAGAGGATGGGTTGCTAAAGGACCCTGTTTCAAAAAAAGAGAAAGTGATGAATTTTATTAGACTGAGGTTTTGTTTCATATTGAAAAGCAGAACTCTTCTCATAACTGTTCTTCCTTTAAACATTGATGTCTCACTGTCTTGTCCTGTAACAGCCTGAGCTTAACCATGTAATTTTTGTTTGCTGGTAACTGCTCTGATCTGCACTGCAATGTAACTGCAAGCCCAGAGATTCTGTGTAGTGATCTGTGTGCCACCTTTGTTTTACAGACCCTGTAGTTTTTAGAGACAGTTCCCACATCTGGTTCTTAGTTAAGTTTATATTTTTTTATGCTGTTCCATTTCAGAAAGAAAACCAAGTGTTTACAGACTTCATATTCCCTGGTCATATGAAGACTCAATAACTGTGGTGAAGTAAGAACTTTAACAATTAATAACTTCTTGACATGTTTTTTTAAGAATATTTGCATCCTGTTGTGCTAATATTTCTGATGTGGGACAGACAGTTTCTCCAGTCTTAAGTGTTTGCCTTCTGCATCTTTTCCTCATTTACCTTTCAGCCCTTGTTGACAAATTGTTCTGACTTTTCCTAGAATAAGAATACCTACTAATTGGTTGCTTAATGGTTCTCACTAATTTTCTTGTAAAAGAAGTCAGATATGCTGGTCTGAAATTCTGAGGATAATCATTGCCCTTCTCATCAGTGGAGAACAATGGCTGCTCTGGATTCTGGCTTTCTCCTGGAAGCCAGGGTTTGGATTACACAGCAGCCCTATGTTTGCTTCAGCAGCATAGTCCTGACAAAATCAAATGATACAGCTCGAAATATATTTGTCACTTATGAAGTTGAACAACCTGACAGTATTTTAGATGGTAGGAAAACTGTATTTCTAATTTATTTTAGGAGTCTTAAGGACTCATAATTTCCAGCTCCCTGTGTTTTCCAGCAGCATAATGTTTGCAGGAAGCTGAATTGTGTTCTTGAGAATACGTTCTTTCTGTTCCTGGCACTCAGCATATTTGCATGCTCTGTGAGGCAGTGTGTTCACTGAACTTGTCTGCTTTCCTTAGTGCCATGTCCCAGGATAGTTCAGAGGAGAGGGAATTGAGGATGTTACGTAGTTCTTTGTGACAGGGTCACCAAGTTCCTTACACCACTTTGCTCACAGCTTGAGGTGACACTTGGTGTGGTAGATGTGCTTTAGGTGCACTTGTTGAAGACTGAGACACGTTTGGTTTTCCTGCTTGGTCATAAGGACAGCAGTGACCATGTAAGTTGCTGTTTCAGAGTTCCATCTCTTGCTGAGATTTCTGCCAAACTGCACATGGCTCAGCCTCACGGCGACAGCAGCCTTCCAGAGTTAAACATCTACTCTTCCCCAGACTGTCAGTATGAAGTGAGTAAAACAGTTTTATTTCATAGCTAGTTGGCATTGCTGGATGATTTTTTGCAAAATTCAGTCTTTTAAACCATAGCTAATTAATCTAAATAAATAGTAAGTGAATCTAAAGGTGGGCTGTTTGGCCTTTTTGACATTAGTGTATGTTACAAGTATTTTGCAACAGCTGGGTTAGTACAGAAGGTTGGACTCTAAAACTTTAAAGCATTTGCTTTTAATTGTCAGTTGTAAGATGCTATACATCTTAGTTGTGGGATTGCTGTATTCTAGAACATAAGTTTGCTTGTTAAAAATTGAAGTATTTTCCACTTATGCTTACCATTATATGAAACAATATATATATATTTTTTTCAAGGTAATTCTGAAGACATCACTTCTACAGGTTCTTGGGCAAGTAAGAAAACCTAATACTAAATTGTTTTTTTTTTAGTATGAAACAATATATATTTTTTTTCAAGGTAATTCTGAAGACATCACTTCTACAGGTTCTTGGGCAAGTAAGAAAACCTAATACTAAATTGTTTTTTTTTTATCTCAGTAGCATCTATAACAATTTTTACATCCTCCCTTCCTTACTGTGGCACTTCAGGTTCCTTCTTAATGCCAAGAGGAGCACTATTCAGTGATCATTTTGCAGCCTTTTCCCTTGGCAAGGATCCCTCCCGGATGAATGTCAGGTCCCGGTCCTTAGAGGAGCAGAAAAGCTCTCTAGCTCTAAAGAGCTGCTGTAAATGTGGAGTATGTGGCTTTGTGGTGAGCTCAATATCTGTAGGTCACTTTAACTTTCTTGCCTGATGAGTCAGTGGTGTTAAAACTTTAAAATACATTTGGCATCAATTAAGTTGGGGGAAAAAGTCTAAGTAGGTCCATATGCTCCTTCTGAACAAATCTTCTTTGGTTATCAATGAAGAATACATTTCGACATGGGGATCAGTAAAAATAGACTGGCCATCTGCAGTTCTCTGCATCTAAAGAGTAATTCATTTGCAAGCACCTAAGTGTAGTCTGGAATAAAACTGGCAAGATTCTCTATGTGAATGTATACATTTAGAGAAAGGATTTTTCATTTTGTTGTTATTTTATGAGAATTTATAGGCTATTGGTATATTAATAATGACTTGAGATACTGGAAGCCAATTAATACATGCATATAATTCCTTCCAAAAGTTCTTTGCCTAAAAGCATATATAACTATATGCAGATTTTGCTTGGAAAGTGGCCTTTAAATTGTTTTAAACTTACTTTACTGAAATCTGATACTTGATTTTTTTCATACTTGTCTTGACTGGAAAAAAAACCCCATTTGTTTCTAATTTGATCATTTATCCAAACCTGTTTCATTAGCTGCTTATGAGAGATTCTAGTCTTTTCCATCTATAACATTAATTGCTATGGGACGTTATTAAATATGCATTAAAATGAGAAACTGAATCTTTCAAGAAATATATTCTAATCTCATTATCATTCTGGTTTCATGGTAATATTTGTGTATGTGTTTTTTAAATTTATTTTTATAAGTAGAAGTGAAGTTATCCCTTCATCCTTGTCTTTCAGATAGTAAGATTCCATGCTGGTGCTTTTCCAGTCTATATTGTTTCTAATATTCTTCTTACTTATGGAGGACAACTGAGCACACTAAGATCAACAGGTAGCTTTCTAAAAATCTGTATATTTTTCTCTGTCACAAGTGTTTTTAGAGAAATTGCGTATTGAGTTTAGTGATGAAAGACTAGCTAGATGTGAATTTTTCAAGCTAAACATCATTCAGCTTATGGAAATACTTGGATCTCTGTTCTTCTTTTTTATTTTTTCTTAGCTGGTAGTTCTTCAAGGTTGTGTTGTAGCAAAATATTTCTTTATTATTTTAAGTTGCAGTCCCTCTCTGAAATATCGGTGTTGCACAGTAGGTTAGAATTACCAGAGGTCTACTTAAAAATACATGTAAAAGTTTAAAAGACATTGTTGATGTGCAGAAAACACTGTTTCTTGCAGGAAGATGAGATTTTGAATTACAGCTTTGTTATGCTGTCATGTCTTCAGACAAAATGCATTTTTATTAAAATTCAAGGGGTGTTTGTAGCAAACTCCACAATGTCTCTAGAAGCTCATGTGCCTTATTACCTTAGTGTGGGTGACCCAGTGGAGAAGGGCTTTGGTGGTCAAGTATGCAGCCTTGCAGTACTCTTAAAAGACATGGTTATCTTGTTTTCAAGTCAGCTCACCATTGTCTGAATTTTTATTTTGTTGTGGATGATGTTTGTTGAAGTTCATGACATGGCAGTAACTACAGATGCTCTCTGTTCTTGATCCTAGGCCAGTGTTCAGACTTCTGCCTCGAACTAGTTAGGGCAGCAAAGCCCTACAAAGTAGAACCTCTTATAAGCATTGTTGTGTTTCTGCAGGGGTGAGTTTGCATCATTTATTTGTTTAAAGCAGTTTCCAAAACAAAAGTTTCAGTAAAACTCTTGCTAGGGAGGAGTATTATTTTATCTGTAATCACTGTAAACACCTGACTGTTATTTTGCTTGTAAGACTGTAATAGAAGGAGTAGTTGATAGATATCTAACTGTAAGAGCAATTGGAAGTGATAAATAATACTGCTTTCATGTTTTTGGCAGGTTTAACTGGTTTAGAGAGATATGGGAATCACTGTCACTACCAGAGGTGGATGCTGCTGTACTGAGTAGTCAGGATGCATGGTTCCCCCTTGTGTCCCTGATTCTATTTCTTTTTGGGACAGGCATTGCCTACTGGAGTGGAGTATTTTTCTCTACATCTCTGAGACTCTTCTCTTCATTATGGTTAACTCTGATTAGGTAAAACAACGTGATACTATATAATCGTGCTCTTCTAGGTGACTTTGACCCTGACAATTGTTTTTTTGTTTGTTTGCTTCTGTGTGAATGCTTGGGCAAGATTGAATTCTGGGCAGATTGAATTTATACATTTGAAAGCAAGCAGAAATTGATGTCTGAGAAGAAGTACAACAGAAGTTTTGTTTCTGATTTTTTCTTTTATTTAGACCTACTGAACTTCAGAAAGATAAGTTGATTACACCCAGCAGACTCTGTGGGATGATATCTCTTGCTTTGGTTAGCTGGACCACTTGTGGTGCATTTGCTGTGCTCATTATTTATCTTCAATACTTGTTCAAGGTACTGAAAGGCTAAACATTTTGTATTTGTAACTGAATTGAAAATTTTAGGTGCTTTGAATTAACCCCAGGTTAAGAGCAAAAATCCAGATTACCCTTTTTCACACATAAAAGAAATGTTATTATTCTCATACTTGAAATAGGTATTTCTAATTTCTCACTGTCATAATCTTATCATCTGTAGAATGTTTTTTCTTCTTTTGTTTATGCTTCTTACAAAGAAACGTGTGGTTCTACATACCCACTACAACAATGCAGATAATTGAAAATTTTAACTTATAGCTAGGCAATATTATAAAAGCAAAGACTAATACCTCCCTTGAAGAGTAAGGAGTCCTCAATTTATTTTCCTGTACTACAGCTTTTGTGTGAAGAATCCTTACTAAACAAGCAACTGCTTGTCTTACAGGTTGTAAAACTGCATGTAACTGTAAGAGCAGAGCAAAACAGGCACAACAGGGTGAGTCTGTTTCCTGCTTCTGTTCCAAACTCTGGCCAAAAATTGTCTGGCAAACTTCTGCCTTGGTACTCTCAGGTTGTTCTGCAGTGACTGGGTAGCTGTAGTTCACTTGCTGCATGTGTGATGTGAAAGAGCAGCCAGGCCATGAGCAGGCTGCTCCATCACACATGACTGCTGTTTGAAGTTTCTGCAATGTGAACTTGTCATCTAAGAAGAAAATTGTCTCTGAATACACACAGATTAACAGGGTTTGTCTAAATTTTGGTATTTGATTATGCATGGCTTATCTTAAAAAAAATAATTCTAGGTGATAATTTATACTGCAGGTAAAACTGCTTTTTCTAGAGGCAGCGTGTGGAGTTCAAGGTATTTTAGTCCAGAGATGACAGATAGGATGTATTAGATGAATATGGACTGAGACTGCAGTAAATAGGGAGCTGTTAAAAACACAGTAAAGAAGTGTTGGGTTCCATGCAGTGTGAACTTTGTTTTCTGGATTACTTTAAGGTATAGGATCAAAGATGTAAGCAGGTGTGGATAACAGCATATGATGATTACCTGCTGTTTTTTGCAAACATAGAACAAAGTCTGACACAAAAAGTTGTTGAAAGTTTTCTTTGGGTTTCTTCAAGTGGATTTTTCATGGTTAGTTGAAAATCCTCTTCTTTCATCTCTATATAATACTTTGTTTCATGTGTGGGTTTTTTTCCTGTCACTGGAAGTTAGTATCTGCCAACTTGTTTGTTGATCTTTGCTATTTATTCCTACAGGTAATATTTTACTCCCAGTTCCATTATTTCCTAGATCTTTCCTGTGAATGATCATCTGTGACTTTTCATCCCCATGCTTTATTACTCCTTTTATTTTGTTCTTCCCCCTTCCAGGAACTGCTTTTCATTTCATTGGTGTCAGGGCATTTACAGTTTCCATTCTTTTCTTCCATGGACATATAAACTATTAGTGTATTAGAAATTTCTGGTTAAATTTTGATACTTTAAAATTGAACTTAACTCTTGGTGGCTTTTTGAGGCATAAATTGCAGATTTTCTTCCTAAATCACAGCTGGTGTGATACTGTTAGGATATTTTTCCCCTCCTCTTTCCCCAGTGTGGGTTCTTACAAGCCTGTGCATGTTTTTGTGACCTCTGTCTTTCATTTCCAGGATTCAGGCCACTCAAAAGAAACTTCACAGAACTCCAGTACACACACAGTCAAAGCCCAGAGTTCAGTGGACAGCATTCCAGAAGAAACACAGTCTCCTTCCAACAGTAAAACACTTGCTGAAGCTATTAACAGTCTTAAGATGCACATTACAGTCCTTAATTTATTCACATGGATTGTGCTGCTCAACTTGCCATCTTTAATTTATTGGTTAAAAAATCTCAGGTAAATTCTTAAATTGACACTAAGGTGGAAGAAAGTTATAGGAACCTTTGAAGATAATAAAAATTATAAATGTTTGATTCTTTACATTATTAGTTACCTTACAGTTTTAAAGACTTCTGTTAATTATTGTTGTTTTCTCTATCCTTTCTGGTTTGCATTGTGGTGTAAATAGGTGTTAAGTGAATCAGTGATATGTTGAAGAAAGTAATGTTTCAGAAGGGGTTTGAAATCAGGCTGGAATGCCATATAGATTTCATGTATATTTTTTGTCATCAGCACATGGCTATTTGGCAGCCTAGTTTAGAAGTGATGTGCTTTTTAAACCATTTCTTTGCAGGTACAGTGTTAGACTTGATCCTGATCCCTGTAGATCCACAGCTATTATCCTCGTATGCATCTTAGAAATTCTCATGAATTCAAGCACTTCTGAAGTGAAATCAAGGTACTGTAACCCAATCTTGAGTTTTGCTTTCCTGCTTCTTTGTGAATTACCATTTGTATGGTAAAACTTAATTTATGTTGTAATTGTTCAGCCTCTACAGAGATTCATGAACTCATATGGTTAAGTCTAAAAGATAAGCTAAAATGTGTGCAAAAGTACCTCTAGTTCAGCTAGGAGGAAAAAATCCTCTGTGTTTGCCACTTGGAAATAAATGAAGTATGTGCTATCTAAGCAATTGGCTGCATAACAACTTCTTGAAATGTGACTTTTTAACTTATAATTCATTGAATTCTTTCAAGTGTTACAGAATCAACATATGTTGAGCAATTATTGTCAGACAGTTACAAGGAAAAGGGATTCTACAGCACTGTAGTTATGTTCTTGCAGCTCCCTTTTGGAAGTAGAAATATACTGTGTTCTCTAGTGGATTAAGAAGTTCTGAGAACCTGGTTTTGCTGACAGAATATTTCTTGTTGAGATATGGAATTAGTCAGTGCCTCATGAATGACCATCAATAATAAGAAATGACATTTATCCTCTTGACCAGTACCTGTTATCTCAAGTGATCAGAGCCGTTGTCTTCCTATGTTACAGAGAACAAATTTCTAAATTAATATTTTTAATGACATTAACCTTTTTTAATAATTTCTTTTGCTGATGCATCAATTTTTGTGGCGTATTAGACCTAGTTGCTCAGTTTTAAAGATTAACAAAGCCTTGAAATAGAAATTATTTTGCAAAGGAAAATGAAATACGACATTTGCATACTTTCTGCATATGTAGCTACAAAATGATAATTTTTTTTCTCTCTATTCTTACAGTAAGCTCTTGAAGATTGCAGCCAAAGTTCCACTCCCTTTGTCTGTTGCAATGTTGGCCTTTGGACGAATGCATTTATACAGAGTCCCGCACTTTGTAACCTTTTCTCTTCTTCTACATGTGCTCTGCTGTTTGTGTAATGTTCATTCTATGTAGGACAATGCACCCTAGAAACTTAACACTGGAGATGGGAAAAATTGCAACACAGAAATGCCTAAACTAATATGATCAGTAGTTTACATTATGTGGGAAAGAGGACAGAACTGTGAATACTTTACAGAAAATTCATGGGTTTATTCATGTTGCTTAGAAAACTTTTCCTGGTGTTTATTTCATGTCTCTGAAAATGGAGTGATTTAACTGTGTATAAGCACATGACTCATATCAGTGCAACATCTCAATACTCTGCCTTGTAGACACTTTGGTATTTCACTGTACTGCTTGTGAAAACAGACCTTTTTTACTCACTGTGCCATGCAGTGTCTGTGTTCTGAACTTGCATCTCTTGCAGGTCTAAAGTATGCTGGTTAAAACTCAATACATTTCAAGCACACTGTGACTATCACAAAAACCACACAGCCAAGTATACTTTGAATTACTTTATGTTATACCCAGAAGTTGCCACATTTGTGTCTAGACAAACTAGAATGTACTGCTTATATAGAACTGTTATTTCTATCAAATCATTTGTTCAATCAGTGTGAGTTGAACATTGGTGAGATTATTGCAAGTCTTACACATTTTACTTTTTGTGAGAGTGAGAAGACGACAGTATTCTATGTAGCTTTCTATTCAGGAAGGATACCAGCAGATTCATAAACAATTTGCTGTAATGTTGTTTTAAAACATTGTCAGTTTTCTCTGGAATTTTGAAATTAATCCTTGGACTTTGTCCATATGTAGAAGCTAGCAAACACTGAGATATGGTGTGAGTTAACAATGCATTTCCTGCACTCTTTCTAAGTAGACAAGGCAGGCTTTTTTCCTACTGTAAACAGAGAACCAACCATCTCCTAATAAATGCCAATACATAAAATTAATATGGAATAGTTACAACCCTGCAAGCTCCTGTCCTGCCATACAGTGCTAACTTCTGCATGTGGGCAAACTCAGTGATAGTGGGAAATACTGACCATAATTATTAGCTCTATATAAATTCTATCTTAGTGCCTAGATGCTACAGTGACTGCCATTTATAATAAAGCCTACAATAGCTATGTGTAAGGAATTCTGTCCCCTGGGCGTGTGTTTTGCCAACAGAAGAAATCTCAGCAGTCCTTAGGTTTAAATGATGTATTGATTCTGTGTAGAGATGAGCTTACTACTTGCTTCTGTGTTAGCTGTCTCTGCTGTGTCTGAGATACCTGTGACCTTCATCTGGAAATACTAGACCAGCTCAATCATCTTATAGGAATAGCAAGAGGAAATCTGCTGCTCACAGTCAATCAAGTATACTCTTGATACAGTAGTACAGCCAGCCTGACCCATTAATTCCATCATATCTTAATAATCTTGCCTAAGTGCCTCCGTTATTTCTAAGGTGTTGTTAGGGTCAATTCCTTTGAGCTGGCTGGAAAGACTCAATTCACACAGTGACTTTCCAAAATGAAGGACAAACGTGAAGAAAGCCATGTGTGTTTTGTTTGCTTATATCCATGTCAGCAGTTCAAATTATTAATAAGTCATTAAAAGTGCTGTAAGTGAGTAAGGGTATTGTAGTTAGCCAAACCACTGTCACTGTTAACAGTAATCTATGTGCTGATACTCTAGTCTTAACCTTTTCAAAAAAGAAGGTTAGATTATATATAGTCTTTGTAAATCAGAAAAGTTCTTTGAATAGTTTACATCTTGATATTTTCTAATCAAATGTATTTACATTAATATATGTATATAGGATAATTTGTGTGACTCAATATACTTGTAGCTAAATGCACCAGTTGGTTTAACTAGAAATTGCTGTTCAGACATAGAAGAATAGAGTTGTTGTACTTGCAAATGGCTGTGAATGAAAGATGGTGGCAGAACTGCTTTTAGGGCTGGCAAAGGGCTGTGAAATGTGCAGGGTCTGATTTCTGTGGAAGAAAGTTTTCCTTGACTTCTGCGGTCCATTTGGCTTACTGCTCTATTTTACTTCTGATTTTGTTTTGCCACCTTAACAGGCTCTTTCTGCATGAATCCATTTGTTGGAACTGTTGGAAATGAAACAGACTTGATATTTAGTATCTTTGATAGCTTTCAAAATATGCCATAAAATGAAACCTACTGAATTACAGCAGCATAGGGTAACACGATTTTTTTTTTCATTTGATGATTTTTTTTTTTTTTTTTAGCTGGAGTTCTAGTGATGATTGTTAGAACTCTTCATAAAGTGAGTTTTGGTATCTTGTGTATTTTCCTGCCTGATCTTCAAGTTGGAGGTAGGAATAGGTATAATCCTGAGTCTGAGATCCCAGATAACAAGAGTTTTTCACATCTCCCTCAACACTCCCTTTTCTCAGAGATGGTTTAGCTTTACTGGGGAAAGGAAGGGAAGTCTTAGTCCTGTTTTGAATTTAAATGCCTTGTGTGCCATTTAATAGATTTAAACTGTTGTCAGGGATGTGTGTCTGGATTGTGCAGTGATCATGGACTGGACAACTTCAACTATTTGGCGGATTAGGAGTCTAATCCCAATTAGATTTGCCATACAATCAATGGATAGTAATAGGATTAGAGCAAGTCTTAGAATTCATCCCATTCTGAGAGAGGATGAATTCTCCTACTTGTCATTCTGAAAAGGACTAAATTTTGTAACAGTCTGAAAACAGTTGTTTTTCAGGTAAAATACAATGATTGTTTGCTGTTACTTTTGGACAAGAAGCTTCTGTTAGGTGAATCTGTAGTTCTGCCACTGTTCAGTTATCATTTCAGCAGAAACATATGATAACCCAGTATATATATATATATATATGCTGTTAATTGCATGTATAAAGGGATGTAAATATTACTGAAATATCCTTTATTATGAGTGGGCTGCATTTATAAAACAGCTTTTGGCAAATACATTATAATGTCTCTTACCACCTTCGATTACATTAAAATTCTCCTTTATTCTTCACATTTTAAAATATCTAGACTGTGTGGGAGGAGACCAGGGCACAAATTGTAAGGGTTTAGACCTCAGGATGCATTTAAAATAAGAACTATTTATGTGGATCTAATACAATTTTTTTATAAGCTGTCAGACACAGAATGAGGAAACAGGGTAAGAACTTAAAATACTAAATGTCACTAACTTTTGGTACAGCAGAATCTTTCTTTGACAGGGAGAGATTTAATGAGAAGCTTTTGGTGATAGCTTCATACCCTGAAATTACTCTGGAAGTCTATAATCTTTTCTGCTTGATGTCATCAAACATGTTCCTCACAGTCTCATCATTGCTGCATGACATGTGTAGTTAACACTTCATAGAAAGTCTCTATGTGTCTGATAAGGAAAAACTCACATTTTCACTGGAATGACCAAGTGTACCTTGGAACTGAGTGAATTATGTTGTCCAAAGCTAATCTTCTTAGTTGTGATTTAAAAGTTGCTGTGCAACATTTAGAAGTTGCAATGTACATTTCAGCATCCATTTCAAAGAGGATTGGTTTGGGGGTTTTTGTGGGAGGTGTCTTTGTATGTTTTATTTCCAAGAAACCTGCAGTAAATGGAATTTAAGTTAATATTATTTCTGACATTTAGAGTTCTGCCCTGATTTTGGTTTTGAGTGAGCTAATTCACATAGCAAATGATTCCTTACTATTAATTTGCTACGTTTAAAAACAAATAGATGAATAATGACAAAACTGTAAGCAGTGCAGTAGTAGTACATTATAGAAGGCATAGAGACTGCTGGTATATCTAAGTGAATTTTTCATCTATAACCTAATTGGACTAACTTTAAAGTAATTGAGTAATAAAATAAAATGTATTGACATTTAACCTCAAAAGCTTTGCATATGTCAATGTTTGATACATCTCATTTTCCATGTGTTTGCCAGTAACAAGTGATAAACTCACTTGGTGTTCTTCTGAAATCTGATAAATCTGATCCATCTGACAGCACAGAATAAAGTCTGTTATGTAGTCCTTAATAAATGTAAACATTTGAGAAACTTTCATTTGAATCAAGTTATTTCAATACAGGGTTTAGTGTGTTTAGACTTTTGTTGCATTTATACTGAGACAAAACCAGCCATTTACTGACCTTTAATACTCTGAGCTATGACAATGGTTTTGGAAGTGCTTGTAGAGTCTGTACAGAATTGTGCTGCTGTTTTAAGTCACTAAGCTACTAGAAAATTGCTAGTTGTAAAGTAGACTGAATTATTAATGACAAATGTTTCTCACTTAATTTACAGCTTTGACTTTTTACATATTATTTTTTTCTGGGAGATAATCAGTCTAGCTTTTGTAAGCATTTAGCACTGTAAAATATAAAATGTTCATCACTGTTCCTTTAGGGGAGACATACTTTTGTCACCAAAGCTATGTACTGCTGTTGTATAGCCTGTAGGATATGTGTGACAATGAAGGACAATTCAAAACTAGTCAGTTTTTTATTTTAAAGTACAATTTCTACCTTTTTTTTTTTTTTTTTTAGAGCCAGAATTTTGAACTAGAACATTAGAATCCATAAAGTCTTAAAAAATTTGAAAACCTTTTGCAAAGACTATACTTTCTGATGTATATTTTTATTTATGGGTGAATGTGTTCAAAGCTTTTAATCAGCTCATCTATCTTCAAACTCAAGTAAAAAGTATACACTTTGTCTTATTAATAGGTAAATTAAAATGCTGCTTTTAAAAATGAATTTTAAGCATTTAGAGAGAAAATTCTGTAGCTCTTACTTAAGCAGATCTGCCCAGCCCTCAATTTTTCAGATGCCTGAGCACATAACTGCCTCAAATATGTGCTTATTGCCTTGTAGGATGAAAACCTGAACTGTGATATTTTGAATTTATTTTCTTAAGATGTAAGGTTTCTTTCTGCATTTTTAAATGTAGACGGATTTTGCTATTCATGCTGTCATAAACAAACCTTGTAAGCATTGCCTCTCTGCAGTTATTGGCAGCTCTGGATTCTGTAGGAATGTTTGATGTCAGAGCTGAGTTTGTTCTAAAAACCAGGAGTGGTGAACATCATATTTGTTATTTGTGGCACAGCATTGCAGCTCTCTCTACTTTGCAGTGTCTCTGCCCTGCAGTGCCAAGCAGGATGTTCCCAGAACAGTGGAACTGGGACTGACCTGGCAGGAAGTGCAGCAGCTGTGTCCTGTAGACTCCTTCTGTTTGTGGAAATATCAGCCAAGTTTTTTCCCCCTCCAACTTCAATAATTTCAGCGTATATCTAAGTATCAAGTGTGCAAGTGTGTTGAAGTTTATTTTTACAAAAGGCTAAGTGCACTATTTTAGGATCAATTCAGGCTTCAGTATTTTCCACCCACTTCCGTCTGAGTTTGGAAACAGGATTTGAGACTGCAGCACCTGACAGCTGGAACACTTGACAGAAGTCTACAGGTAGTAGATAGGACACATATAATTAGAGTGCCAGACCAAAACTGAAATGTGAAATTCTTCACTGTGACTTTAAACTTGTAGCTTTCTAGTGAGAAAAAAAAAATATATACTGTGCCTTAAATCAGTCAATGAATACACTCTAACTGTAGCCTGTGGACTTCCATAGCCTTATATTTGATTTTTGAAGTTGACCAAAAATACTTGTGTGGATCATACTGAAACTTGATTTGGGGAAAAAGCTTAAAAAACTATTTTGACCCCATTTTACACTTAGAGAAATGAAGATTTATGACAAGTACAGCATATTTTTTGTTTGGAATCACACCAGCCAAAGTCAGAAAGCTTTAGCTGACCTGAATTTTTCAAGCCTTTCTGTTGTGACCAAAAGAAAAATAAGGAAGGAAAACTAGTTGCAGATACCTGTCTCAGCTTTGAAGTCTGTGTGTCAAATTATTTTTAAACATTTTGATCTTTAGTCCTCAAAAATAATTTAAAAAATCTCTTAATTTTAGTTTAAGCAAAATACTGTATTGAAGCCATTAAATAGCAAAATCTTCACCAGTGTGAGAAGAAAACTAGACTGGGGCGGGGTTGATTGTGTTAAGGCTCCAGAAGTTTTGAGTACTAAATTTTACTTTTTAGGAAAAATCACATGTAAATCCCTGAAAGCTCACATGTAGATTCCCTTTTTTGGAGAAAAATAAAAATTACACTTTTTTATCCTAATTCATTAAAGAAAACTAGAAATACTTAAGATCTTAAAATCTTGTTTTAATATAGCAGAAGGATTTCTTACATATATTTTTTAATACCAAGAGCTCAGGAAAAGCCACTGCTGGCTTTTCTTATTTGTCTCTAGAGGATTCTTTGTGTGTTCTGAACAAACCCCCAAATTCTGATTTCCCCCTGTCCCATATAGCACTGAACCTTGGAAAGTGATGCCATCTCAGAGCTTATTGTTGTACTCGGGATGTTTAGACATGCACACAAATAACTAACTGCCTGTCAGCTGGTCACAGAGCTGATTTGAAGCAATCCACAGCAAAGTTATAAAACATTTCCTTTCACTGAGCTCCAGCTTCAGTCTGGGTGCCACAGTGCTGCTGCTGCTGCTGAGCACAGCAAGGAGCACACAATCTTTGTGTCTTCCCTGCTGCTTAAACTCATTCCAGTCACCTCACTTCTTATTTTGTGGTGATGTTTCAGCACTCCTGGCCATTGGTGATTTTCTAGCCACTGGAGTATTCTAGTATTGAAACCCTTGAGAAGGTAGAACTACCTTTAAGGCCGTTATGTATGATGATAACTTGAGAGAAATTGTGTAACTTGATTTCCCACTGAACTTTTAATTGTTTTTTCAAGCACAAAGACAGAGTAATGTTGGCCAGAATACCTGGTGTGGGTGGTTAGTGGGGAGGGAACGATTTGTTGGTTGTAAAAGGACTTAAAACTTTGAAGAAAACATGTAATTTTGGGAAAAATCTTATCACTTCTCAAGCAATCTGTCTTAGAACTTTTTAACTCTTCCTCTGTTTTCAGTTCATATGTAGCTACCATAAATGTGATGTTGTACATGAACTCTTAATATTTACAGGTTTTTAGAGATGTTGACAGGGTCTAACCTATACATGTTTGAATAATGCTACAGCAAATTACTGTCCTTACAAAAATGTTTATAACTAAGTTCTTACAGATCATGTCATATATCATAAACTTCAACAAAGTCCTTGTCTTGTGAGATGCTGAGGAAACCTTGGAGAAGAGGTATTTTCAGATGATGTAATTGCTGAAAGATGAAATATCATAGTCTTTAGAAACTGCATTTAGATACTTTTTTGTTGTAGTTGAGGGCAACTTGATTGGGAGCTGTTCTGGGATGTTTCTATTTTGTTTTGTGGTTTCCCTGGCTGCAGTGTGTACTTCAATTTTTTTTTTTTTGTCTTTTTTTTTTTTTTGTTTTTACCTAAGTGTGCATGACTTTAAGTACATTGTATAGCAAATCCCCTCTAAAGAAACACTTCTGTATATCTTTGTATGGTATTCCAACGTGCTTGCATTGGTACAAATGGTTGTAACTCTCAAGAAGTGCCACTTGCCAGTGCTGCTCTGTGGAGTGTTGTGTTACCTGTATGCTGCTGTACAAACGCTGATGAGTGTTGTGAGCAACGTCTGCCTTTAGGCTTGGCTCAGGTACTCATGTGGAGCAGTTTGGTGCTTTTCCTTCTGACTTGTAAGACTTGGGATTCTCAGCAGAAAATAAAAGTAGTAAACAAAAGCCTTGTGGTTGGAGCATTGCTTTAACAGGTGCTTCTTTCACACCTCAATGCAGTAAAGATAGTTTGATAGATAGGATAAAGCTTGGCTCAGTATCTTAACTCCAACACTTAGGCTTCATGACTGGGAAATGCAATAAAATTCAAAGTGTTTGCTGAATATTACAGTTTATATAGAGCATCATATGTATAAAATTTGTTCTCGGCTAAACTAGTATATTTAAAATTTTTACATTTCAGAGGTGAATTGTGTGGAATTGAGCAAGAAATGCTATCAGCATTTTCATCTTCACAGCAGTTTAATTCAAACATACATGAACATTACTTTGTGTGCTAGAAAGGCTATATAATTAATATAGACACTTTAAAAATATTTGATTTATTGGAGATGTTTATCAGGAAAACCTGATGCTTAAATTTGGATGCATTAAAAAGGCAACACCCTGACATCTGGCTTTGACAGCCTTTGTTAAACTTAGCTACTGTCCTCAAAAATGAGGATGCAATTTAATTCAGTCAGTGTAAGTATACTAATAGTATTTTAATATGAATGTGTTCTGCTTATATTTGACTTTCCCTGAAGGAAAGAATTGCAATTACTAAAAAAAGACCCGCCCACACATTAAAATGAGCTATAGGTCAAACAGACTTTTTAGCTCCAACAGTTTCTCAGAGCTTTAGCTCAGGAAGCAACAATACAAGTGTGTATAGATTTTTTTTTTTTAGACAGCTCACAGAAAATATATGCTAATTGAATCTCTTGCATATCTGCATGCTTCATCAGTCACCCACATTGCCTGAGTTCCTCCAGTAACAAAGCTGGTTTCATATTTGCAGATGAATTTGGTATGTTTTACTAGCTGAATACACTGCATATTCCCAGTTCTTTGTAAAGAAACCAAAGGAATAAATTAAATGACGGGGGAAAAAGAGATACAAGAAAACTGCCAGCTCTTCTGGCTTTTTTTCCCCCCCTCCTCTTTCCAAAGATAAAGAAGGAACTAAAATCTAATCCCAAGCTGTAAATCTTGCCTTTTCCCCTTCCTGTCATTTTCTCTATAGAAGCATATTTCTACTTCTAACTGAAATAAGTATCTCACTAGAAGATCAATAAAGACAGTTCCCTTATGCTGGGACCTGCCTTTTTCAAGTTATTCTGGTGCTACTGCTTTGTTCTTGAAGTTGAGTGTTATGAAACATAATTAATGGGGCTTAATGGATTTTCTTTTTTGTGTGTATGATTTTTTTTTAAATCCAAATATGCAGGATAATAAACAAGCTGGATAAATTTTCTTGAATTTTTATGCACCACTGCTAGGATTTTGTTTACTGTGTTGCTAACGATGTTTGGATGTCCAAAACTTCACCTTCCTGGAAGGGTGGTGGCAGGTTTTTATTTTGCTTTCGAAATTTAAACCAAAGAAAAATGTAAAGCTTCTAGTCAGGCATAAACATCTACACTTTGGAGTAATGTGATGGTCAAATATTTTTAATTTTAGCATGTCTATTTAGGAACATATTTTATTTTATGCTAAATCATATATCATCTACATAGTGGAGAGAAGAGTACAGTGAAATAATAAAAAATATGAGCAGCTTTGGTATGAAGAATGCTATGCACTAAGGACAAGGTAAATTAGCAGAGTCCTCCTTGCAGCCTTTGTCTTAGTTTCTAGTGTGACAGGAGGATATTAACTGCTGATAAAATCAGGGTAGGAAAGCAATGGTTCCATTAAAATGTTATGATTTTGGATATTGAAGCAGACCTTACTTTTCCCTATCTTTTTCCAGCATCAAGAGAGAGAGATCCATATCTCATTTACTTGAAAACCATTAGTCACCATTCTAGAGATATGGCTAATTAAGCTAAAAATAGTATTTTGATAAAGCTGTGCCATTTCTCCTGGGAATTGTTTTAAACTTCCTGTATGCCTGCTACCAATTTCTGCAATACGGCTTGGGAGGATTTGTACTGCACTGTTCGATAGCAACAGGTCTGAAGAGTATCAAGGATGAAATTCTCAAGGGTCTTTATGTCATGGTTGGAAATGGAATCATTACTGTATTTTTGAGCTCCTGCTAACGTCATTGACACCCACCTACAGTCTACTAGAAATATAAGTGCAGAGATCAGGTTGTTCACAGATTACGAGGAGACCAACCAAGAAGGGGCAAGCCAAAGCCAAATTCCCTGGTAAGCTCTATTTTAAAGAATGTGAGAGGGAGAATTCCTTTTCTCCCCCTGAGTCAAGTTGTGAAATGGATCTCTAGTATGTTAGACCAGGCTGTATTAAATGCCATTGCACTTATTATATGTAGTAAAATTTAATGTAGTTTTGTAAAACTGAGCTCTCTGGATCTTGAGTCATATTTTTGCATTCTCCTTGGAGCATATAGAGGTCTGGTACTGTATTAGCCACTGAAAATGGCTTTATGTAATAAATGTAATATTTTGTCTTGAGTGTTCTACTGGTCCCTCAGAAGAGAGTCCAATGTCTAGAAATAGCTTTGGTATGGGAAACACTTGGTTAGAATGAATAATTTGTTCTTCCAAGGACCTTAGTACTATGAAAAAAAGAGTTGATAGCACATGGATGTAATCTGCAGTGGGCAGACTTTGCTTGGATTCACATGATCTGTGTGTTCCCATTGACAGCTCTGTAGGATTTAAGGAGTGTCTGTTTGCCCTTCTTACAGGCAGTCTGTTCATCTCCAGCATGTGGAAAGTGCTGCTCCTGGGACTGTATGTAGTATTGGCTGTGAGAGGACTGGAAAAGGGTGCTCCTTTCCAACCAGAAGATAAATGGAAGCCTCTTGATAACCCCAGAAACAGAGACCTGGTAAGGAAATGTTTCAAGAAGGAGAGCTGCAGTTCTGTGTGGTTTTTTGTTTTCCATGAGACTCCTTATTGTCTAATTTTAAAGGCAAGAGGGGTCCATTAGATGTAATGTTAGGAGCTGTGCACTTTGCATGGTCAATAACCATTTCTCAGTCAAGATGCACCCCTTAACTAAAGAGACATCCTCGGAGCACAGCAGTGCATAAAATGTGCTTGTGTCTCCATCCAGCAGCTTTCGTTTTTAAAAAATTATTTTGATTATACAGCCACTTGTTTTATGAAACAGAAGGGGAATGATTACTGTGTTTCTTTCAAATGTGTGCTGTGATTGCATGTTGTTTCATCTCATGGAAGTACAAATAAGTTTGCATCTGATAGCTAGGAAAATACCACTCAGAGAATGTTTGCACAATCTTAAAAATAATTGTGAAGGAAAAGAATCAGTTTCCCAAAATACTTCCTCAGTGTTTTAAGAAGCTTTAATTTCTCCTTGGAAGTGATTGTAAGGGGACAGTTCAAACCATTTGCCCACTGTTGCTGACTCTTACTGAAATGTTTGCAGAAGTGTTTGCTCTCAGCAGGGCTTTGGCTGTGCCTGTTCTACAAGGGGTGCAGTTATCTCACAGCCCCTGTGGTTCAGTGGGGAGCATAAATGAGCAGGACACTGCTGCTGCTCTTCTGACTTCCCGTAAGATGCACGAGCATGGATGGAGTGGCCATGTCTGAATTAGGTTGCCTACACTGTATCAGGTTATGATCAGAATCGAGGATTTCATCCCACAGAGGAATAAACATGACATCTAATTTGTGTCAGTAGAAATAATTAATCTCCATGGGTCATGCTCTGTTTATTTTCACATCCACAATCTGTTCAGTTTTTCAGAACGCTCCAGGCTTACTTCTCGGGCAGGGGTCTCGATCTCAGGAAGTTCCCAGCTGCTTTCACTGTGAACAATGAAGGACCAAGGCTCTACTCAGATCCTATTGCTTCTGCATTTGCAGATTATGAAGAAAAGAAAAAATCCTTTCAGAACTATTTCAAAGGCTGAAAGGTTCTGCTGATGAAGGTAAAAGAGGGTGCCTTGTCCTCTGATGTTACTTGTAACCAAGGAAGAGTCTGACAGAAGTATAAAAGCAGCTTCTTTTTCAGAGGGAATTAAAAATGTAGTACCTAACCCCTGCCTGAAGTGGGGTTTAAAATTCTTGAGGCAGAGATTTATGAGGTCATTACTACTTAGACAAAATAACACATGATGCTTGTGCAGATCTGACCCTGATTTTTTTTTGTTTTCTCTTTTTTTCTCCCCTCCTTCATAATGGAGGAGAATTTTGAAAATGTACAGATAATAGAGGATGCAGATTTTATGGAAGGAATTGAAAAAAGTAAGATTACAAATTGAGATTAATTAATGGTTTCTTGTGATATATGTATATTAAGAAAATTAATTCAGGCATAAGTCATTGCACTAATAAAGCATACATTATCCTTCACATTCACAATAAATAGTGTTTTCTTTTGGTTTACAAATAGTTGAGAATGTCAATAAGATTTAAATCAAAGAATTTTGGTGATTTACTCAGTATCTTAAAGTGTTTAATTTGTAATCAATATTCAGCTTAGGATTTCCAGCTCTGTCCTGTTCTTGGCCTGCTTAACACCTTGTCTGTTTATTATCAAAATCAAAGCTTTATTCTTATTACCATGAGCAACAATAAAGATTGCACTCAAATTTTAATACTAAATTCTCTTTTTATTGAGTTGTTATGTCATGAAAAATAGGGGCACCACAGAATGTGTATTTTGTGCATAAAAAGAATGAAAAGGGAATTCTGAAGGGATGCTTTACTGTAAGTCACAGCAGCGGTGAGAAAATGACTAGTGGAGGTTTTGTCCTGCATCATTCAGGATGGTTGTGGTAGTTCTTTTCAGTGTTCAGAACTGTTTTGTGGGAACAGAGGTTCAGCCAGTGTTCTCTTGTCTTGGTTTGGACCATACCTTTGTTGCTTATGGATATTTCTGTATTTGTCTCACGTATTTGTATTTTTTTTTCTCTAGGCATTAACTTCAGAACTCCATGCCAAGTGGAAACCTTCAGAGCAAAATTTTACTGCTTTGACTTTTTAACTGTTACCTGACAATTCCAAAGTTTCTTCACTGTCACCGTTTCTGCCGATGGAAGCTGGTGTCCTGCTGCAATGAGCATTATTGTGTCTGTTGACAAATGTCTGCAGTCTGTGAGCAGAATTGTGCTTAATGTGAATAAATGGGGAGTGCAATAGCGTGCATTTAACTACTGCCACGTGTCTTTGTTCCAAGCTGGGAAATAAATGTTGCCTTTCAGTTTATTAGAACGAGATGTCCCAAGGTGTTGTGCGGCAAGTGTTCAGACCCGCTCTGGGTCCAGCCCCTTTCTTGGGGGCCCTCTGGCCCCGGCTGCTGCCTCACCGGGCCGCGCACGCCCCTTTCTGCCCGTGCCCTGCTCAGAACTGCCCCATCCCTCTGAGTACGGAGTTAAACCCTCGGTGCTGAGGCTGCCGAGGCAGCAGAGCCCGCCGTGCCCCGGCCGTGCGCTCGGTGCCCGCCATCGCTCCCGCCCTGCCCTCAGCGCGGCCGCCGCCGCCCGGAACTCGCGCGGGCAGGCGCGGCTGCGGCGGGCGCCATAGCTGGACGGACGCGGTGCCTCCCTCACACGGTTCCCCCGGGCCGTGGCGGAGCCATGTCGGGCTTCAGCCCGGAGCTGATCGAGTACCTGGAGGGCAAGATCTCCTTCGAGGAGTTCGAGCAGCGCCGCGAGGAGCGCAAGAGCCGCGAGAAGGTGAGTCTGCCCCGCCTGGCCGCCTCACGGCTCGGGCCGCCACCCTCATGACAGCACCTGGCAGGGCACGGCCCGCTGCCGTGTGTGTGGAGGGGCTCTCGCTCGCTGCCTCTGCGGCTCCGGAGTTGCGAACTTCTGTGCCCCGATGCCCAGATGGCGGCGGCCCGGCAGCACCGGGGAAATCGGTGCTTTGGGTCGGGGCGAGGAGCTGCCTCGGCTATATACTCATGCAGACTGTGCTGCTACAGCTCCCCCGCCAGCGTCTGAGGGAGAGAGCCGCTGCGGCTCCGCGTGTGACTTCTTGGCAGCAGTAAATAGAGGCAGACGCGTTTGGTGTCCGACGCTGTGTAGGCGGTGTGATTAAAAGAAAACACGCGTGATTTGTCGGAGCGTTGCGGTTCTTCTTAACTTTGCTGTATTTGTGTCAAAGTGCTACTGAATTTGTGCATTTCTTGGTCTTCAGAGAGCAGGCTGAGCAGAACTCAGCTGTCATGGAATGATAAGTGTTACCCTAGGGCAGCGTTCTTACCGGATTAATGAGTGCTGGTTTGATACTGGTAGGCTTCTGGAAGGATTTATCACTCAGAACTTTTTTTTCTAATACAGTCAACCATCCCACCTCTCTGTAATGCCAAATAAGCAGTGGACTGGTTTCTTCAGTCAAACGTAGTGTGAACAGTCACCATCTGAGTCTCCCCACACTGATAAAAATATAAATGTCCTGAAAGCAAGGAATGCTGGGTTTTATACACTTAAAATCAGTGCTTATCCCACCTGTTTCACTGGCAGTGCAAAGGCTGGAAAGCCAAGTGGTAACTGTAAATGTGGGGAAATAAAAATGGGTAATTCTATAAAGGTAATAATTTGTATTTTTGGTGTGTGTAGGATGGTGAAAATGCATCTGCTGAAGAAAATGAGGAAGATGTAGAGGCTCCATCTTCATCCAGAAAAGCATCTGGGAAATCCCAAAGTCAGGATGAAACTGATGGTTGGTGTTTCTAACATAATCATGTTACGTATTTTAAAAGGCACTGGAAGCATTTGCTCTTCAATAACTGACTTCATAAAAACCTGGCTCCATTTTTCCCCTTCTGGTCTCTGAAGGAACTGAAATAAAAGGGACATTAAATTAATAATTATGTGTTTTTTTCAGGTGGGGGCAGGGGAAGATAAGTCTTATGTTTAGATGCTTAATATCCAAGTCAGAATAAAAATAACTAAATATATCCAAGTCAAAAAAAATAACCACAAACCCAGGTGTGGTCCCCATGTCCCTCTCCTATATAGGCAATACGTGGTAGATTTATGTCTCAGTCCCAGCTTGATGCTGTGGTTATTTTTTAATAAAATCTTCAGGTGTCCAATCCTCCAGTTCAAACCTTTGAACCCTACGTATTTGGAATTTTTTGTTATAGATCTGTGGTCAGCTGTAACCCTGGGTTCACTTCATAATGAGAAGCTGTAAATAAAAAATGGGAATTTCTTAAAAACTATATGCCTTAAGCATATCTTACTTATTTTAAAGAATTCTGTTGTTTTTCCAAAGAAATGCAAATAACATGAATTTTGTATTTACACATGTTAAAAGGTACTTGCTGTCATGGATGGAATGGTTACAAGATCTTGTTTCAATGGCTTTGAAAAATTGGTTGCTGGATTGCTGTGTCATAGAATTCTCTGCTCACTTATAGCCTCTTCAGCTGAAAAGCTTATTGCAGCCAGCCAGCTCAATGCTTGAAAATTGCTTACTCTTGTTCTGGACTGAGAAAAATGTTGATTAAACTGTGGCTTCATTCTGTCTTGTTCCTTCCTGCTTTCATTTCAGATATCTAAAGATGTTACAGGCTGGGCCATACCAAGCATTGGTGATGAATAAGGCAGAGCCTTAAAACCAAAGAAGCTGTCAATAGTTTTTCTGCATTTCTGCAGGCAGCACTCTTACAGAATAGCTGCTTCAAGTGGGCTGCTGTTTTCTCTGTGCTTGTCCAGGGAAGCAGCTTGTCCTCTTCATTGTATCATAAACCTATTTTACTTCTTTTGCAACCAGGAGAAACAGCAGATGGGGTCAGTAAATCTGTGCATCGGGTCTTTGCATCCATGCTTGGGGAAAATGAAGAGGAGGAGGATGAAGAGGAGGAGGAGGAAGAAGAAGAAGAAGAAGAAGGAGGAGGAGGAGAAGGAGAGGAAGAAGAAGAAACTACAGAGCAGCCTACAGCTGGAGATGTTTTTGTGTTGGAGATGGTTCTTAATCGAGAGACCAAGAAAATGATGAAAGCAAGTGTTTAAACTTTCATATAACTTCCATTGTCTCCTGAACATAGTGCATGAATGCCACTTTTTGTGACTTTTAGCTGCTTACTGAGAAATTTGCCTGAAAATTGTTCCATGTAGGGTAATCCTGCTTATGCTGGTGTTTGTTATGCTGTCTTTGTTTATTATAAAAGCACTGTAATTTACTGTTTGAAAGCTTTCAGAAATCATGAAATCAGTTTTCCCAGTGTCAGAAAACTATGAACATTAGCAAGTCTTTTGGTCAGTTATTTATTGTTGCTAATACTTAAATAACTTGGTGTTAGGTGGTGTTAAGCACAACGGGGTGTCTCCTGAATTTGGGGACAACTCAACCTTGTTCAGAAACACCATCCCTTTTCCATTTAGGAGAAGAGACCTCGCAGCAAACTTCCCCGTGCCTTGAGGGGTCTGATGGGAGAGGCCAACATCAGGTTTGCTCGAGGAGAGCGTGAGGAGGCCATTCTGATGTGCATGGAGATAATTCGACAAGGTATGGGAGAACGGGCAACCTTTGGGCTTTAAGGATGGAGTGAAGTTTCCATGTGCAGGAGGAGGATTCAGTGTGGCTTCACTGAAGACGAAAATAAACTGTACAAGCAAGGTCACGGTATAAGGAGTAGAATTAAGAATATGTGGTGCACTTCCTTTATTTTTTTACTTATAAAAAGAAACTAGCACCCCTATTCTGCAGAGGCACAGGCCTTGGCTTAGCTGTACACAGTTTGCTTTTACTGTCTTTGTAGACACAAGGTATAAGCATCAGCATGCCTTGCAGTGTAGAATAATACTGTGAATGGTTGTTGTTAGATTCAGTCAGCCTGTTTAATAATTTACAGACAGGAATGAGAAACTTGTCTGCGAGTTTTTCCTGAATTTGAACAGCACATGTTTCATATAATTCTGTTACCTGTTCTTTGAGAAAGGCAAGTTATTTAATGTTTCCAGTGTGGATTTTAAACAATAAATCTTAGTAATTCTTTTTCTTTTCACAGCTCCTCTTGCTCATGAGCCATTTTCCACTCTTGCCATGATCTATGAAGACCAGGGGGATATGGAGAAATCACTACAGTTTGGACTGATTGCAGCTCACTTAAATCCTAGCAATACTGAGGAGTGGGTTAGACTGGCAGAAATGTCACTGGAGCAGGACAATATTAAGCAGGCTGTTTTCTGCTACACAAAAGGTAGTGTAGCAAACATTTTAATAATTCAAAATTAATGCTATGTGTTGATGGCAATCGTTTTGTTTTCTTCTCCTTTCTAGTTTAGTTTGCTTCAGGGTGCTAAGATTTCGATACCTCTGTGTGGACTTTGATAAAAGATCAATGAATCTGTAATCTTGCAAAAACCCTGTGCATGTCCATTAACACAAGGAAATGAATGTGAAATCCACTGTTGCATTTCCTAAACTGCTGCTGTGCTGCTGCTTCCTCCCGTAGCTCTGAAGTACGACCCGACCAACGTGCGCTACCTGTGGGAGAGGTCCAGCCTGTACGAGCAGCTGGGCGAGCAGAAGATGGCCATGGACGGCTACCGGCGCATCCTCAACCTCCTGGCTCCCTCTGACGGGGAGCGCTTCATGCAGCTGGCCCGAGACATGGCCAAGTGAGCCGGGCTTGCAGACACTGGGGTTTGCTTTGCCAAGGGAGCCTTGTGGTTAAAGTGTGTAGCTCTCACACGGTAGTTTTTTACCTGTCAACTGCTTTCTTGTGGAAACGTGTTGCTGCCTGTTTCAAAACAGTTTAAGCTCTTTTGATCTTCGTGTTTGGGAAGTGTACCAAAAAATACAAGGATGTAAATTATAACAATGTTATTAGTGAAGGTTTCTTAAAGCAGGTTGATGTGGGACATGATTGATGCCTGACTTCACTGGGGGAGACTGTGATGAAAACTTCAGTAATGTCCTGACAAATAGGTGAGAAGAAAATTGTTAATTATTTGAAATACGTAAAAGTTTTCAACAGTTGTAAGGAAAGGAAAACCACTCCCTTTCTCACTGTCTTTTATGACATCCACTTGCTAATGAAAACCTTCGCTAATAACCAAAAATCAGAGAAATATGAAAATCCTTTAGCTTCAATTCAAAGTATACATTGTCAGTCATGTGAATTACCTGCTGTTTCATGTCTGTATTTTATAGGAGTTACTACGAAGCCAATGATGTCACCTCTGCCATTGAGATAGTGGAAGAGGCCTTTACCAAGCACCAGAGCCTCGTGTCC